AATATTTAGGCTCCCCAGTCAAAGACTAAGACATAAGCTTTGGGCTCTGACCTCCGGTTTCGCGCCGGCAGCTTCTCCATCGGCATCACCCATGGAAAGGTGCCGCTCCGGAACGCCCCGGTCAGCGCGGCAGAGGCTGCTCTGTTGCGACAGCAGATAGTATTTAAAGTATAAAATTAAACTAATCCAGCTTTGCACGGTGCTCCAGGAAAAGCAGGGTTTAAAGGACACTCAGGCTCGCAGTTTAGGGCGCACCAGTACCCTAAACTGGGAAGGAAAGCTGAGCCCAGTGTGCTGCCGAGAGAGGGAATTTCTGGTTTGGGGTTGGTTTTTTTTTTTTTGTTGGCTTTTTTTTTTTTTTTTTTTTTGTTTCCCTGAAGTGATGTGGAGTTTTGCAGCTGCTCCTGGCAGCCTGCCACTCCCGAAGGAAACTCCTCTCTCCGGTTACCTACCGGAGAACCCTGTCCCTGCAGAGCGGAGCTGGATGGAGCCCAGATGGAGCACGGTCCCGCACAGAGACGGGACGGAGCCGCGTGTGCCGCCGGCTGAGTCTGTGCCCAGGGCTGAGGCAATGCCCGTGGGGGCTCGCAGGGACCGCACGAAGATGTTCCCAACCCCTGTCCCTGCGCTGTGCCAAACCTGCCCCCCAAAACACCTGCTCTCCTACACTATTTTTCTAATACACTGCCTGCAAAAAGCATGTTGCAGAGGCACTCATGGACCACCACCATCATGCCTGCTAATCCAACACCCACCCCACGCAGCTGCGGGTGCTTGGGTCAAGAGTCTCACAGCCTTTGCTGGTCCTGGAGCAAGATGACAGCCTGGCATGGGAGAAGTGACAGTCACGCTGAACCCCTCGCGCACCTCCTCCCAGGAGGGGTCCCCCGCAGCCATCTGCCGAGGTACCCCACCACGACGTGGCCACACGGACCCTCGGGAGCAGAAGATGCTGTGGCAATGAGGAGATGCCCCCAGGCAGCGAGGCCGGGGTGGGGCGCCCCTCCCACAGCTAGCTGGGGTGTGATGGGCAGATCCAGCAGAAAAGGACCGCTTCCCACGCCTCGCCTCCAAAGCGTGGCTGGGAGGGCACTTGCAGCGGGGTAAACCGCTGGGTCTGGGGTTCAAACTCCAGTGCCTGGGGGTCATCTCCAGCCTGTACTGCCAACGGGCCCAAACCCTTCCAGCTCCTTGGGGCTTCACCTTGTTCCCCACGGAGCAGCCCTGCACGCTAATGCCAGCAAGCCAGGATGCCGCATCCATCCTTCTCCAGGGGCTTTGGAAACCCCCTCACTGAGATCTCGATCCAAGGGGAATTGTTTTAGATGGTGGGGAAAATGGAGAAGATCTGGAGTCCCCAACGAGGATGGGAGGACATGAGCCCTGAGCACACCGTCTTTGCCCAGACCAGCCACCACCTTTCCACCAGCAACCGCCCCTGCTGCAGCAGAGCATCCTTCCAGACCCAAGTCAGCAAGAACTGCAGCAGCTTTCCAAAGTTTTTTTTAAAAAAATTAAAAAAAAAAAAAAAAAAAAAAAAAAATCAATGCTTTGCATTAATGGCAAGTTGAAGCCACCACTTCATAGATCTTCCACTGCGAACAAAACAGCATTTCAAACACTCCCAAGTGTGGGTCCTTCTCAGGGGGGAGCAGAAGGAAGGATGAAGTCAAAGTCTCCAGCAGCCACAGGCTATCCTGATTTTTCTCTCCTACACGTTAACGCTCCATGCAGGCAGAGCAATACCACAAAAAGTATGTTGCAACAGTCAACTAGATTTAAGTTCATTTTCTGTAGCTCGAGGCCAAAATCGACTGAAGTGGTTCTGGTGATCAAGTTTTCTGCAATTCCCCTTTCTATGTATTACCTCTTTGACAGAAATTCACTGCGGTATTTAAACTGGCAGTCATCACCGCTAACTCAAATTGTATTGGCTTTCATGGCGTTGAAATGCTCAACTGCGACCAGCCATCGGCCAATTCGCAGATAACGCGGCGGCTGAAATCCCCTGTCATGCCGAGCGATCCCGTTGCAGGCTCGCCAGCTCCGGGAGCGTACCGTAACGCCGGCGCGCTCGCCGCAGGGCCGGGCCCGGCCGAGGAGACCGAGTCAATGGCTGCAGGTTGAGTTTTCAGAATCGATGGGTGCTCATGGTGCTGCTAACTTGGATAAACTCTTTGGATACAGGTGGGGGAGGCCGGCTAATAAATAACCCTCCAACCAGCACAACTCATTAGTTGCGTTTAGACTGACAGCCGTGCCCGAGATGAAAGGAAAGTGAAGCAGAGTGTTCCTCCCGCCTGTGCCGGGTGAATCCCCGCTCCCACCACGTGCCCTTCTACCAAGTCCCATTGGCCTTTTGTCCCAGCTTAGGAGAAAAACCTCAGGGGAAAAGTAAAAAGCAATATTCCTAAGCCACAGCAAAAAGCCCATGGCTTCAAGGGTTCCCCCAAAAAAGAAGGGCGGGATTTCTTCCCCCCTCTTTTTTTTCTTCTCCCCTCACTAAAGAGTTAAATACGAAAAACTGGAGGGGGAAGTTGGCGATTTGTCCTGCTGCTCCTAATAGTTTTCATACGGTTACTCTGGGAAATGAAGTGGAAATGACGCAGCATGCAAATCTCGCCGTTAGCACCCCGCTAACGAGGCGCAGCATTCCCCCTCCCAAAGACGCGTCTCCTGGGCCAGCACCCCTCCGGCACCGCCGAACCCCGGCCGGCCCGGCACCGCCGTGCTGCTCCCAGAGCATCCCCGTTTTGTCCCGAGAGAAAACACATCGTCTCTGGGTAAACAAACACCGTATTTCGGGCAAACACCGAGCTGGCCACTCAGACGTTGCCCATCGTTGGCCAAGTGTAAAGACGATGCTCTACCAATCTGGGGCAAGACTTACATCGAGGTATTTTTAACCACAACAGCCATATGAAGCGACTCATGACTCAGTGGTCCAGCCCCATTAGGGGCTCGTGCCCCATTTCTGCTGCCACCCGCCGCTGATGGGTTGTGGGGTTTGGTGCTTGATGAAAACCTACATTCCGGCTCCGGGGCCCGCCGGTGAGGCTGGCCATCATGCTCGCTGGTACTGGCAGCCTGCCCCAGCACAGAGGCTGGAAAGAAACAAGGTGCTATTCACACTCCTCTGGTTATCATTCGGTTCTTTGGTCAATATTTAAGTTTTGGCTGGGTAGGTCCCTCACTCTAAAGTACGTGCCATGCCTGGAAAACACTGCTCCTCCGAAAAGGACTGTGCCATGAGCATCTACCACCGGCCACGCCAGGGAGAAGGCAGAACTCTGTTTTGAGGCCAAAACATGCCCAGGGAAACCAAACCAGTGCCACCAAGCCAATGGAAAAAGGAGCAAAAATCTTGTTGTGAGTCTTTTTGGTAAAACCCAAGAGGTAAAGCACTTGGGGCTGTTACTGAACTGCATTACAGTGAGAATTAAGAACAATCAGGATTGTGTCTATTTACTGTAAGCTTAAAGCAACATGTATTAAAGAAGTTTATGCGAATCATCTAATGCACTCAGGCTTATTGTTAGAATTATTACCAAGCTAAAAAAAAAGATTAATTTCTCTAAATACACTAAATCCTCAGACACTATGAGGAGACTACTGTGAACAGAGCATTACCACGTCTTGGTTGTTAATGTCATCTCCACCTGCGGCTTTGCTGTCTGAAGATCTACCTTCACCTTGCTCCTGATGAGCCTGCTGCCCCAACCGGGCTCCAAAAAAACCCCCAGAATTTGGCCCCAAACACCCAGGAAGCAAGCAGCCGCCCACGCCAAGCTGAGCACTGGTGGCTGTGCTGCCGGTTGTCAGCTCTGACCTTCAGTTCACGAGTTCACCATCTTAATCCAACCCAGTAAAAAACAAGCAATGCAGAGAGCGGCCGCAGGGAGGGACAGACGGACAAATGCCCACATATCAAATACCCAGACCTGCTTCCCCCCTGCACCTTCCCACCTGGGGCAGAGAGGGGAGGCAGCTTAGTAGCCAACTGAGGCTCTCCGGTAGCCCGGTGCCCCAGGGCGACCACAGGAGCATCACCGGCAAACCCTTGTACATCCCATCCCAGGCATGTCGAGGCAACGAGAAACTCAAGAAGGGGGGGAGGGAAAAAAAAAAAAAAAAAAAAAAAAAAAAAAATGGTTTCCATACCATAGGCTCCCCGGAGCAGATAAAAAACAGCTCCTGCTACAGGGTTTAAACTCTCTTGACTGGGGTCCAAGCCCGCAGCCAGGTGACTAATCCTTTGATGCAAATTCCTCCCGACGCTGCGGATGCAGGCGACGCGCGCGGGACGGGAGCGGGCAGCCCACCCGTCACCCACCGGAGCAGACACGCCGCGCGCCCTCGCCAAGAAGAGTCTTTTTGGGAGGCATCCCGCCCCAAGAGCATCGTCCTTGGGGTCACACTAACACCCCTGCAGAGAACAACTTAAAATACCGATAGACAAGTGCACGCCATCAGCCAAGAGGGAGGGAGGGCCTGCAACACCACCTTCAACGAGTAAACACTTTCGCCTTACTGGTTTCAAGGGAGGGCTCAGACAACCAAGGAGGCCCCCAGCCTTGCCAAGGGTAAGGAGATATTCACTGAGGCTTTCAACAGCATTTTGGGGAATCCCCTCCTCCTCTTCCCCACCACAATCCAACCCCTGCCCACCCTTCGAGGCGTCCTCAGCATGAAATATCTCACCATCGATCCTCTAGTAAACGCTTTGTTGTCCATCGCTATGCAAAACTGCTTAAGTCTACCAGTAGCCCAAATGCCTTTAAGTGCTTAAGATAAGTATCAGAGCTAATTTACATAATTGCAACATTATGAAATACTGTTCAGTCAAATCAGAACATCGTTGGTTAAAAAAAAAAAAAAAGAAAAAACAAAAAGCACACAACACGCTTATGCCAGTGGGTTACGTCGGCTCTCGATACACCGGAGAAGCTGGAGCTCCCCGACACCGTAATTACCGCGAGGATTAGAAACTTGTTACTCACGTAGTCATGAAAGGCTTTCGCTTCACTCGAATGTTCACAAGTATCTCGCCTTTCGGGAGCTGCGCAGTAAAGGTCCCAAAACACGCTGCGTGGCGGAGAAAGGCAAGAGAGGAGGCAGTTACTCGCCAGGGCTCCCGCACCACAGCGGGGGGTCACCGGAGGTGAGCGGCTTCCCACCCCGCTGCGTGGGGGGGGGGGAACCTCACTAGGATCCAGCTCGACCCCCCTCGGCCCTCTGGAAGTGCCTGACAGGGTGCTGCCGTCCCCAAAATGGGTGGCATTGGGTGTTTTAAGAAGCAAAAGTAGCCTTTTGGAGGGGGGGGTAATAACCGAGGGGCTTCTCCAGCCCGCAGAGCTGCGCTGGCACCTCACCCTGCCCTTCCCCCGGGCAACGGCCCCGCTACAACTCGGCCACCCACCCCCCCCCCCCCCCGGGGTTCTCGGCCACCCCCCGTGGGTTCCCGGTCCCGCTGCCGCCGAGGGCTGCCAGGCCTGCCGCCTCCCAGCCCGCCCGGTCCCGCGGGGCCGTGGGTGGCTCCGCCGCGCCTCGACGCCCCGCGGGGAGCGAGGAGCCGGGGCGGCGTGGGGCTCGGCGAGCCGGTGCTGACTCACGCCGTCGCCGGGGCTTTACCCCGTGGGGTCGCGCTCCGTGGGTGAAACACTGAAACCCCCCCACACACACCTTCCACCCTCAGGGCTGCGGGGCAGCCTGGAGCCTCTCACCCGCGACAGAGCATGGTGGGGTGCTCCCACTCGCCTGGACGTGGGGTGGGTGGGTGTGTGTGTGTGTGTGCGGGTGCCCCCCCCCCCAGCACTTACCACCACCAGGAGTGCAGGAAGCCGGGGGGCTCGCCCAGCGTGATGTTCTTCTCCCACCGGATCTGCGGGCGAGAGGAAGGCGGGGGAGGTGTGTGTGTGGGGGGGAAATATGTGTGTGGGGGGGGAGGTGGTCACGAGTGGGCGTGGGCCACCCCCCCACGCGCGGCGACCCCCCGGCGCCGCCGCCGCCCCGCGCAAGATGGAGGGCGGGCGTGCGTGCGGCGGCGCACAAAGGGCGCGGGGGGCGGCGGGGCTCACCTCGGACAGGAAGGTCTGCGCCGACTTCTGGGCGCCGACGTGCAGCAGGTACTCGTAGACGTACAGCGCCAGCCTGCAACAGCCGAGCGGCGGGTCGGCGGGAAGAAGGAGGAGGAGGAGGAGGAGGAGGAGGAGGAGGAGCCCCTCCGCCGCCTCCATCCCTCCCGCACAAAGCCGCCCCGCCGCCTCCCCGCTCCCCCCCGCCGCCGCCGCCGCCGCGCTTACTTCTCCCGCGCCTGCCCGTCCGAGGGCACCGCCGAGCCCTTCCCTTTGGCGAACATGGTCCGCGCCGAGGAGGAGGAGAAGGAAGGAGGAAGAGGAGGAGGAGGAAGGAGAAGGGGGGGGCGGCCGCCCGCCGCCGCTGCGCCCGCCGCCGGAGGAGCGCCGGGGGCTGTCAGAGCGCCGGCCGCCGCCGCGCCCCCATCGCCCCGCCGCTCGCCGCGCCGCTGCCCGCGCACCCGAACGTGGCCGCGCCGGGCGCCGCCCCCCCGCCCCACCCCGCGACGCCGACGGGCGTTCGCTCCCGCCAATCACCGCCGAGGAGGGGCGGAGACGACCCCCTCCACGCCCCGCCTCCCCCCCCCCCCCCCCTTCCTTCTCCGGAGGCGGCGGAGCTGGCCTCCCGCGGCGGGGAAGGAGGGGAGGGAGGGAGGCGCCGCGCGGTCCTAGAGCCCGCCCGGCTCAGCCCACTGGCAGCGCGACTCCCCCAAGCCGGAGAGGCGCCGTCCGCCTTTAAGGCGCCGGGCCGCGGCGCGCAGCGCCCGCTGATTGGCCGGCGCCGCGGAGACCTCGGAAAGGGGGGGGCCTTGAAACCGCCCGCCGGGCGGCGAAGGGGAGGAGGAGGAGGAGGAAAGGGGAGGAAGGGGGGGGGGGGGGGCAGCGCGGCGGTGCGGCCGGGCGGGCGCTGCCTCTGGCCGCGGCGCCGGGCGGGACCCGCCGGGGAGGCGGGGACCGGACCGAACCCCCTCCTCCTTCTCCGAACCCCCCTCCTTCTCCGAACCCCCCCCCCCAATCGCCGCCTTCCAGCCCGGCCCCGGCGGGTCCCGCCCGGCGCCGCACGCCCCAGCCCAGCGCTGCGGGCGGTTCCCTCAGGGCGAGGCGGCCTGGTTGTGAGGAGCCCTGAGGGGAGCCGGGGGCCGGCTTCCCCCCCGGCTGCCAACTTCGGCGCCTCAAGTCACGGGGCGAGGCTTGCGGCGGGGCCTCGCTGCTTGTTTTTGCTTCGCTGCCCTTAAAAACAAGGCGGGGGGGGGTGGGGAATGAAGGACCCCACGGGGGATTAGAGGGGGTGCCAGCCCGGCCGCCGTGCTGGGGTCCCTCAGCGTGGGGTGTGGGGAGCCCTTTTGCCTCTCACTGGGGGTGGGGGAGGCTCGGGCAAGGCCAGACTGCTCCCCAGGGCACCCCTTGGTTTTGGGAACATGGGCTTTGCCCCCCTCGCCCCACCCGCAGCCCTTTCCGTGGGCAGGCAGGAGCCCACCGAACTAACCGGCGCTTCTGGTGGCAGTTTCCACGGGAACAGATGTTGGAGCAGCACAAAAACACAGGCTTCAAATAACCCTTTTTTTTTTTTTTTTTTTTTAATTCTCCTCTTGCCCTGGCTTCACCTCTACCTCCAAAATCAACAAGAAGCGGCAGGGACGGAGGCAGCACGCTGGGTCGGGGTTACCTGGTTAGTTACCAGTCGTCACAAACAGCAGGCCGGCGCGCGTCGAGCCTCATCCTGCAAAATGCTGAAGAGTTCAGGGGAGTTTGAGCGGGGCCGAATGTGCCCAGCGACCCTCCTGCAAGGGCAGGGAGGCTCGGGGAGCCGCGGGGCGTAGGAGTAGCTGCTCCAGCGGCGAGTAGTGCTGCTGCGCCCCGTGGGAATGTTCACGGCCACCGGGACCTGCCCGAGCAGGGCTAAACTCGCTTTAAAGCACAGCTTAAAACGAACAGGGAGGTGGTGGTGGTGGTGGTGGGGGAAATAATCTCCTTGCGACGCGGTAGGTCGAAAAGGATCAAAACTTGAAGGCATCCAAGATCCTCTGGTCGGAAAGAGGAAAACCTGGCGCTTTTGCAAGGGTTTTGCTTGGCAGGGTGGGGGTCGGGGTGATGGTGAGATGGGCGTTGGGGGCTCTGCTCCCGGCGCGTCTCTGCGGCAGAGACCGAAGGGCCAGGCCAGACAAATCCCAGACTTTGTGTCTCCTGAGCCTTCCTATCCCTCTGCTGCTCTGATGCGCTCGAAAATAACTGGGAGCCTCCCCTGGGACTGAGGCTGTGGGATAAATTTGACCCTCCAGCAGCCAGGGAGATGTTCACTAAATATCCCCGGTTAAAAATAATACCCTCATATTCTGTACCTTCTGCGTGGAGGTGGAAGGCATTACTGCCACTGGCGTGATTGGCGCCGTGCCCTCGGCAGCAAAAGGGCCTCTCCATGCCCAGAATATCGCTCTGCCCCGCTCCTGTTCATCAGCAGCTTGTTTTCTTTTAACTCAGGGATTTTCTGGGGTAGGTGAGCTGGCAAAACCCAGCCGCCTCCTCTCCTTGAACCCCCCCGGGGTCATTTGGGATGTGAAGCTAGCCCAGGGAAATGTGATGAGAGCCTGGATCTCTGCCTCCTCAGGGGAATTCAGCCTGATGGCTGGTCTGCAGCTGGGAGGGGTGGATGTCCCCGAGGTGCTCAGAGGAGAGAGCAGCTCCAGGGGCTGGGAATCCACCTCAGCTCCTCCGGACCCGCTCTAGTTCTCAGCTGCTGCTAGGGGAGGTGGAGAAGAGCAGTCAAGGGAAAGCTTCCTGCAAACAGCACCAAAATAAAGTATCAACACTGGCATCCCAAGGCGGCAGAGCCCGGCCTGCCAGCCATCCAACACCGGCACGGCGAGGGCGGAAACTCCCAGCCCGTGTGAATTCACCAGGTACCAGCCCTGCCTTCGCATCTCCCGCGACCTGACGATTAGAGCAAATTACAAGCCCAGTGCTTTGGACCAACTTAGCTCAAGATCAGAAGGGAGACTAATTTCGTATCATCACCACCGCAGAATGCAATTAAATGGCTCTGCAAAGTTTTCACACAAGTTGTGACAGGAAATTTGAGAAAAAAAAAAGAAATCCCCACGCCCGAAGCCAGCAGCTCCGGCTGGCCGAGTCACAGGAGGACGTACCAAGGCGACCTGTGGGCCACCTTATTCAGCCAGGCTTTCCCTTCGTCGGGAGTTCTTCTTGGGTTGCAGCACTTGAAGGCACCAGGATTCATTAAAACCCCCAAGCCAAGAGCCCAACTGGTTGTTTCAACCACCCGCCTGTGGATTTCTCCCGAGCATTGAGGTGCCTCCCTCGCCGGGGCTGCGTGGCACAGCACCCACCCAACAGACCCCGCTCCGCCGAGCCCGAGGGCAGGAGAAGGTGCTGGGTGCTGGGGGGGGCGGAAAGGCATCGTCCCCCAGGCCCAGCGGGGGGGGGGAAGGCACGAATGCTGTGGGATCCCCGTGGGCAGGCTCCCCGTGGGCAGGGATGCGCAGCAGGAAGGACAGGTTTGGGAGGGAGTAGCTGTGGGAAGAGTGGCCTCTCCACCTTGCATATTAACGCTCCGCGTGCTTTAATTGCGGCGGGACCTATCGTGCGGAGCCATTAGCATGCAATGCGGAGGAACATGTATTTTTTGGGGGGGGGAGGGGAGGGGGGATGCCTGGCTGGCTCGTAGGCTCTCAGCCACGGGGAGGGGGTGGGCCGTGGGATGCAGGAAGAGGTGTCTTGTCCTCTCCCCCCCCCACCCCGGGGGACGCCGCTGGAGTGTCAGCTCCTTCCCCGAGCCCCTGAATCATCCCCGCTGCCATCTGCTGCACCCTCGCTCTTCCCCGCAGATGTCCCTCTTCCTTCCCCAGAAGGAGATGAGAACCGAGGATGAGGTGCCAAACGCGACTTCAAACAGCATCTAATAAAACACAGGATTAATTTCTTCTGACTGGTGTTCAATGGCTCTGATTAAGCAGAGCAGGATTTAATTAGCTTGTTTGGACTGCCTCGAAACCCATGCCAAAGGTGGGGGAGTCTCAGCAGCTGGGTCCCCCCGGGTCCCGACCACGAGCAGGACCTTCCCCCTGTGGAGCAGAGCCCACTGCCTGCCCCGCCAGGCCGGCAGCTCTTTCGGGATCCCCTGACCACCCTTTACCCCCCAGGGACGGGTGCCCATGGTCGTGCTTAATCCCAGTGACACCCACAGGGCAGGCACGAGGGGGAGTGGGACGGGGGCTGATGGGAACAGAGAAGGGTTGGTGGCCCCGCCAAGGGGACACTTCTGTCTTCCCAAACTGTGTCTCATCCTCTAAACCGTGTGCCTCTTGGCATAAACCAAACTCGCCCTGCCACTGAGTCCTTGAATTTAAAGTAACCCTGTTCTTTCCCTGATTTACTACCAGTTGCTGGCTCCTCTCCTCTCCCTCCGCCTGTCTCCTTTAACCCATTTCATTATCTATGCTAGCTTAGGCTTGTCTACGTGGGAACATCACGGTGAAGTTATTGCAAAATAGATGGGCTGTGAATGTAAAGCGCGGCAGCTATTCCCCAGCAGCTCCCTGCGCGGTGGCTCGGATTCCTTGCCCGCAATACCTGCATTAACCTCGGCTGCAGGCAGGCACTGCGAAGTGCCGAGCAGGAGCACCCATGTGGGACACGGCTCCCACGCTTTCCCCGGCTGGGGACACCATGCTGGGACACGATGCTTCGTCCCCAGAGCTGGCACTCATGGGGTTTTAACTCAGCAGGTTCCTGTCGTTGCAGAGGAGACAAACAGAGGTAGAAGGCTTGAAGGGAGAAAGCGCCAAAGATAACAGCCGAGGATCAGGGCTTGCCCGTCTGAGGAGCGCAGACAACTTGCGAGTCCCAAACTTGCCCTCTGGGGTGCGGTTGGACTCCCGAGGGACAGGGCGGGCTGTGCAAAGGCAAAACCCAAAATGTCAGACCCCGGTCACCCCGTAGCCTTGACAAAGCGTCACCTCTGCACGCCTCCTGCCAGTCCCAGCTGCTCTGGGCAGGTGAGGTCCTCCTGGCTTTCACCCGCCTTGCTGCTAGCCTACATCTCCCTGGAAGGGATATTTTGCAATTAGATTTCCCCTCCTCAAGCAAACCAGCACATGGTCCTGCCTATAGGTCTCCTGTGGCAAATGGTATAGCAGAGACCCTCCCAGGGGGTCCCAGCCGAGCTGTGTGTGCCTGCAGACCCTACAGACAATGGGGTGGTGTCTGTCTTGGGGTTACTGCGATCCTCCCACAGCGATGGGCTCCGAGCTGCGCTACCCGCTGCCTGGCGTCACCCCTTCTCAGGCAAAGCCTTGCGGGGGTAGCAGCGGTTGCCAACTGCCTCAGGAGCCAGGCAGAAACCCCACTGCACCGACTAAGTAGTTGAAGTTTAATGTCAGTGGTTTCCTTACCCCTTCTGCCCTCGGCGAGGAGGCGTTTAGGTGGGGAGCGGGCGCCTGGCCGGCATTACAGGATCTAAATCCAGCTCTGATGGGTCCGGTCTCAAGCTTCCTCACTCCTCTGGGGCAGCGCCTTTGGGTCCTATCGCTCCCATTTCTCCTCCGGGCCAAGTCCCTTATCTGTCACCTCTTCCATCTGTCCCCGCCTGATACGTGCCACCGGCAGTGCCCCGAGCCGGCCACCCCCACCAGCACCGGGCAGGAGCGTCTCTTCGGCTCTGCTTTCCCGGGACGCTGCACGGAGCTGGTGACCTTGGGTTTCGGAGCAGACACCCCCCCCCCTCCTTGCCACCCCCAGCCCCACGGGCGCTCCCACACCAGAGTGGCCAGGTGCTGGGTGTGCGTGTGGAGCTGCGAGCGCAGTGGCTGTACGTGTATTTATTTTAGCTGCCTTGTTTTAGGCAAAAAGCCTGCTGCAGGGTGAGCTGTGGTCTGACTGGCTCCGCTGCCTGCAAGGGTGTCCTTCGCCGCTCCCGGGAGCTTTTTGGGAGAAAGAGGAACCACAGGAGCTGGCGGAGAAGCTTCCCAGGCAGCAGCCTGCCAGTGGAGCCAGCGTGCTCTGGGACGCTTGCCTCCGCAGCATCCTCCAAGGTTTCAAAACCAGCCCTTGCTGCTCGGGGGCCTTGCCCCGGCTCCACTCGCACACCCAGGCACACTCGCAGGCAGCGAGGGGACGTGGCCGGCACTCATCCACCCCCTTGGCTGCAGGGTGCTGCATGCATCACATCAGGCTCACACCCAGCCCACGGACCACGCGCCCTTCCCCACTCCCACGCTGCATTGAGCACCCCTTTTCCTACCACCACCCCCCCCCCCCCCAAAAAAAAGCCTTTTGCTGTTGTTTTCCTGGCTTGCACCTTCACTTTGTCATATGGAAACCGCTCTCCCCCTCTGACCTTCAGGCGGGAAGCCGCTTTCCCCCGCCTGCTTTTACCGTTACTGTTTTAAGCTCAGTCTCTTCCTTCTCCCTCTGAGCGCTCATCGTTCGCTTCCAGCCTGCGCGACTTGCTGACCCAGCACTCCTGCCCGCTCCTCCATCCGTTTTACCTCCACATGTAATGTGCCTCCATAATCTTCCCTAGGAAGGACGTGCAGAGCGGGGCTGCAGTGCCGTGTCGGGGGCTGCGACCACACCGGGGTCCCCACGCACCGACCCGTGCACCACCTGGGGCCCCCCACTCGGGTTTTCCTCACCATCCACCCTGATACTTGGCCCAGACGCCTCTGGGGATGCAGAAAACCCCCAATATATCTAACTAGGGAGCTGTCTGCAGGATGGTAATGCTCCTCTGTGATCCCCCCTGGGGATCCTGCCCCCGGGGACCGTGGCACTAAGCCAGGCTCAGCTCTCAGGCTGTCGCTGCTGCTGGACGCGAGGAGAGGAGGCAGGGGCTTGCGACTGCTTGCAACAACAGCCCAGGGTAGGGGAACAACAGCCCGAGGTGGGGAACAACAGCCCAGGGTGGGGGAACAACAGCCCAGATCTGACCAACAGCCCAGGTGGGAATAGTCCAGCCGGGAACGATAACCCTGCTCTGTCCATGCCGCAAGCCCAGGGATGCTTCGTGCAGGGGCGGCTGCCCCAACGCCTCCCTCTGCCCCCAAACCTCTCGTCCTGCTGCAAGCGGTGCTTGTTCCCCGGGGTGCAGCCTCGGCGGCTCCGCCGTGCCCACAGCATGCCCCCCGCCACCGCCGTCGTCCCACCCGGTGGGAAACACGAGGCCCATCGCACGGGACCCAGGTGAAGCCCCTCCTGTTTGGATCGGGGGAGGCGTGGGCTGCTAACCGCAGGGCCTCATTAGCTTAATGAATGAATTTCAAAGCTGGGCTTTCGGATGAGTTTTGGGCATGCAGCAAACTCGGTGAGTGCCAGGCTAGGACACAGTCTTGGTGTCTCCAGAAAGCCTCATCTTCTGTTTTCTGAGCAAAATAATAATGAAACCAGGAGATTCTCATAAAGGAAATCAGCAAAGACAACTACTTTTATATGTGCGCTTAAGTATTTAGGTCAGTATTTTTAGAATAAATAGCCGTGGGTTGGTTCCTATCTTTTCACTTTCATTTTTCACACTTCAGCTTCATTTTCCCGAATCTGGTTATACTGAAGCAGCAATTGGGTTTCTCAAAGCGCTCACACCTACCAGCGCGCTGACCTCGCTGGCTCCCGTTTCTCCACCGGCTCCTCCAGCCTTTTCTTCTCCCCTGAGCTATTAGCACAATTAGGGGGTGAACCCGGCCCCCTCTGCCTTAAAGATTTCCCCAAGAGCGGGAGAGAGAAGAGAGGGATGGGCTGCAGGGTGGTGGGCTCTGCAAGGGGGTGGGGAGTTTTGCTGGTCTGAACTGGGAAGGGGGTGCCCGTGGCGCAGGGCTGTGACCCACGATGGACGCGTGCGGCTCCGTGCACGGCTCCAATCCTGCACCCCAACGCCACCCAGTCCCTTCCCGCACCAGGCCACGAGCTGGGCGTTGCACCCTGCAGCCTGCTATTAAAAGCAAACCATCTAGAAGAGTCCTTCGGAGTGAAAGCAGCTTTTAAAGGAAACATTGGCAGTCTCGTTTGGCTGCAACAGCGCCTGCTTTGCTAACGGCCTCCAAAATTAGAAGAGGCTCAGAAACTTAGGATGGATGTTACTGCAGCAGAGTGGGGAGGGGGGACGAGGGGGAGGCTCAAGCCTGCTCAGCCTCAGCTGTGCTCCCCCAGAAACTGGGATGCTGCTCCATAGCCCGTTGATCAAACCTCTTTTCTGAGGGGGAGGGAAGATGAGATCGCCGCGGGAATGGAGCAACGGGGAGCAACGCCCAGCCGGCGTGGAAATCCCGGGTGCACATGTGTGGCTGGAAAGCCCAGCGATCTCCGCTGTGCTAAAGACGCTCCGTGGGAGCAACGGAGATGTGCCAAAGCCTCTTCATGACTTAGCTCCTAATAAACACACTGCGGATGGGAAACGAGCCTTTGGCTTTCCTCAGCACGGGCGAGCGGGGAGCTCACCCCGGCGATGCTCCATCCCTACGAGCTGCTGGGGCTGGAGGAGCGTGGGGCACGTCCCTCGTGGTCCCTGGGGCTGGGGCTGGGCTCCTGCCCACGCTGCATGGCTCCTGGGGAAGTTTATACCGAAATAAAGCCCTCCTCTGCCCCGGCTCAATGGCTGCTTCACCTCCAAGAGTTATTCACAGATAAACTCCATAAATTTGGGGGACAGCCATTTTATCACTCCTGGCAGCTCTGTGCATTGCCTGCCACGAGGTGAAGCCAAGAGAGCTGGGAAGGGATGGAAAACCAGCTCCCGGGAGAGTGGGAGCATCGGAGCGCCTGGTCGGGACTGGCTCTGCTCTGGGGCAGCCAGAACCACGAAGGGCCGTATCCTGACCCGGCTCTTGCTGCCCACCCGGGGTTTCTGAGGCTTTGTTAGATGCAGGGAGGCGCGAGAGCAGAAACCCTCCTCCTCCCTGCCTTGCCTCCATGGATGATTTATTTCAACACACGACTCCAGCCTGTTTTGCTGCATCACTCCAGGCGCTTTATTGCCTCTGGCCTGGGCTGGCAATGTCCCCGCACCCAGCCCAGGGGGCAGAAAGGAGCCCTCAGCCCCTGCTGCTTGCCTTTGTGACCATACCAAAATGCTCCCAAGTTTGTGTGGTTAGTTGGCCTTTCCTAGAGCAACTCCCTTTCTCCCAGGCCCTTACCCGAACTGCCGGTCCATTGCTGCCCGCTGGCTCCCACCCGGGGCTGTTTCGGGTGCCCAGCCCTGGGGAGGATGCCTGCGCTTGTCAATGCGCTGGCACTGTTCTGCTGGAACACCACCTGTAAAAAGAAACACCTTTTTAAAAAATCCATCCTTCATTTTACCCTGCATGGGTCTATTCAATAGCTAACGTTAAGCTCTATCGTCCCGCTGCCAGCCTGGTATTCCCTTTTCCCATGGGAAAGCCAAGCCCCGGGGCATGACGACTGCTGGTGATGATGATGGGAGAGGGGATGCCGGCAGACTCGGGCCCCTCATGCTGTACCCCCCTGAAAATAACTCCCTCATTTCACAGCCTCCCCGGAGCGCAAAGCAGCCGTCGAGACGGGCCGGATTTGGCACCTAAAATTTCCCTATCTTCTAATAAGGCTTTTAATTTTTATTTCCCCCCCCCCCCCCCGCAGACCGGCTAGCAGGAAGAAACCCTTCCTCAGCTGGGCGAGATTTCCACACCTCAGTGGCGGTGGCGAGCGCTCTGCATGGCTCGCATTCAAATGAACTCGGCGCAGGCAAAGCAGGCAGCGGCGCTGGGTGCTGCCACCCACCTCCTCTCCCACCCCGGCCCCTCGCCCCCAATATTTTTCGGAAGGAGCCCTTCGCCCGCCGGGGTGGGGGGGTGGGGGGGTGGGTTGCGGTTTCTGGGTCCCGCGGGGTTGGGGTTTCCTGTTTACCCGTGCAGCTGTGCCGGCGGTTGGAGGGAGGTCGGGGCGCGTTGGCCGCGATGCCGAAATATGGGTGCTGTCACCCGCTCCGTGGCCGGCACGGGGCTCAAGGCCTTCCCCAACACCGGCTCCTTCAGCTGTGGGTCGCAAAAAGCCAGCTGGAGGAAGGCTTTTTGATGGGGGGGGTGGGGGGGTTGGGGGCGAAACAGTAGCAGCGATCTGCTGGTAGACGCTGCGTGCGCATAATTAATTCAATCGCATAATTAATATCATTGCATTATTTATAAAGGGCTGAGGGGATGTCCCCACCGTAAGCAAGGGGGGAGTGCCACCCTGGCCCGGCAGCTCAGCGCGCGGGGAGGAGGATGCAGAGGGGAAAGGTGCGCTGCACCCGAAGCCTCCACGGCCCCGGGGCACGGTCGTGTGTGTGTGTGTGTGTGTGTGTGTGTGTCCCCCTCCCCCGGGCAGCGCGGCGCCGCGCGGGGCGGGGCGGGGCGCGGAAGGGGCCTCTTGAAACCGCCGCGCGCTGATTGGCGGAGCCCTCGCTCCGCCCCGCCCCCTCCTCCTCTCCACCCCTCTCCCACCCCCCCCCCCCCACCCCCCCTCCTCCTCCTGCTCCTCCGTGGGGGCCCGGGGGTGGCGGAGGGTTCGGTCCCCCCGCGCCCGCCCCCGGCCCCGTCCCGGAAGGCCGCGCCCGGGCGGGGAGGGGCGGCGCGATGGGCCGGGGCGGCCGCGGGCGCCGGGGGGGGTCGGGGGGGGGAGCGGGGCCGGGAGGGGCCGGGGGGGGCGGGGCGGGGCGGTGCAGCGCGGCCGCTCGGAGCAACGGCGCCCCCTGGCGGCGCGCGGCGGCGCGGACGGCGCCTGTACCGCACGGAGCCCCCACGGGTGTCCTGGGCTCGTGTGTGTGCATCCCACGGGTGTTCTGGGCCCGTGTGCCCCCCACGGGTGTCCTGTGCTTGGGTGTCCTCCACGGGTGTCCTGTACTTGTGTGTCCCCCGGGGTGTCCTGTGCCCGTGTGCGCCCACGAGTGTCCTGTGTTTGTGTCCTCCTATGGGGGGTCCTGTGCCCATGTGCCCCCACGGGGTGTCCTGTGCTTGTGTCTTCCCACGGGTGTCATGTGCCCCCACGGGTGTCCTGTGCTTGTGCCCCCCCACGGGTCTCCTGTCCCAGTGTGTTTCCCGTGGGGTGTCCGGGGTGCCTGTGTGCCCCCATGGGTGTCCTGTGCCCATGTGCCCGGCACGGGGTGTCCCGGCTGTCCTGTGCCCATGTATCCACGGGTGTCCTATACTCACGTGTTCCTCCCGGGGTGTCCTGTGCCTGTGTGCCCCCCCCGGGGTGTCTCTGTCCCTGTGCACCCCTGCTGTCCCGTGCCCATGTGCCCACGGGTGACCTGTGCCTCTGTAACCCCCCAGGATGTCCCAGTGTTCACAGGCCCCTGGGGTGCCCCTGCCCCCACGGGCCCCCCCGGGGCTCTCCCTGCCCTCCTGGGCCCCCCCAGCACCAGCAGTTGACCTGTTCTCTGACACCTCCCAAACCTTCTCCACAAGATCCCGCTTCCCCCTGGCTTTCCCCCCACCCCCCCCCCCCAACAAGCACCGGGGAGCCCCCGGGGACCCCCATCCCCGTCACAGCTGGGCACTGGTGCCCCACGTCACACACCGTCCTGTTTGCTGACCAGCGTTCAAACAAACCACCATTGCTCCGGGCTTTAATGTTTGAATTAAAACCAAAATAAACCCCACAGCAAGCCAGAGACTGGCTTGGCCCAGCAGCACACGACCTCTGTCACAGCACGGGTGAGCTGGCCTTAGGAAATTAACTAAATACCTATAGAAGAGTTGAAAAATAGGTTACCTTGTAATTGAATTTTTTTTGCCTGCAGCTAAAGAAAAATTAGCCTTCCTGCTATCTTGTGCAGCCTGTGTGTTTGAGAACTTACCGGGGTGTGTAATAGCTGGAAGGGTGGTGTGACAGCTCCTTGGCCCAGCCTTTTCAACCGCCTTACTTCTGAGATGGGCTTTTTTTTTGCCTTTCCTCTCGCCGCCCCCCTCCCCCCCCCCCCCCCCCCCCCCCCCTTTCCCCTGCCTTTAAACTCCACACACTGCCAGGGAAATCTAGAGCTTTGACAGCTCAGAGGAGCCAAGAACAGGACTCCTGGCAGAGCGATGCGGTCCTGATCCCGTGCCAGCAGCCAGGGCAGAGCCCCTCTCCGGGGGAGACCCCAACTCACGGGGTGCCGGCACCCCATCCCATCGCCCCGTCCCATCGCCCCATCCTGCCAGCGGCTGCTTCAGCCGCCGTGGGGTAGCAGGGGCCACCAGAGTGGGAGGGTATTGAGGGCAAAGCACCCCAAATATCAGTCCCTGAGCGGCTGGGGGGGTGGGGTTCATCCTGCCCAGCTCAGGGGGACGCAGGACCCCCACCCCAGGCGGGCAGCGCAGCCGCGGTGTGGCTCTCCCTCCCAGTGTTGCTGCAGCTCCTGATGCAGCAAGATAACATCAAGGTTTGATTTATGAAGCTGGTGCATCAGTATCATGTTTTTTTCCCCCCTCCCTTCCTCCCATTGGCACCCAGGTTTTGGGGGGGGCATTTCCCAGGGAAAAGAGACCTGCAGCCCTTGGGTACCACACCGTCGTCCTTGCAGAGGGGGAGATGTGCTTGGCCCACCCCGGAGCCAGGGATGCTTCGAGCACCAGCCTCCCACCCTGCTCCCCTCTCGGGATGTGGGATCGCCTGCACAAACCCTCCGTGCTCGCCAGCATCCCCTTAATAGCTGAAAAATTCTACTTTTCAGCAAAGATCTGACTTACACCGCTTTCGCCTGCTATGGAGCCCCTCAGCCATTTATCCTTCCAACTGCTTCAAGAAGCAAGGAAACCAATAGGTCACTTTTTTTTTTTTTTTTTACTCAGCAGTAATTAATGGTTTAATTAACACTCACGACATCCAATTCCCATTGCTTTGCACGAGCAGCCTCCACTGCTGGGGCCTCCCTGCAAACTCTCCAGTAACTGGGGGTGGAGAGGGTTAGCCGGGGAGCCGGTGCGAGCTGCCGGCTGGAGGCCACCCATCTGGCCACGATTTCTTCCGAAGCTGGAAACTTCTCCTCCTCCCGAGCAGCAGCAGCGTTTCCAACACGTTTCACAGCCTGCTTTGCTTTTGCACGGGCTTGTTTACGGTGCGGCGGCTTTTACGGCTGAGGGAAGAAACCGGGCGCCATGAGTGTGCGCTACGCCCGGCCCTCGTTATTTACTCTTAACGATTTCCCAGTATTTTAACACCAGTCCCCAAGAAATTTCAGTCATCCCAAGGAGAATAGCTGCTTGTAACTGGTTGCTAATTACAAGTATGAATGTCAATTAATTCCTTTAGCTAATTATCCACTCTCCGAGCATCACGCACCGAAGAACTGTAAAAGATGGGCATATGGTGACGGATCAGAAGGGAGAAGCCGGCGCCTGCGTGCGCTCGCGGGGCGGCCGGGCCGGGGTGGGCCGGGGTGCAGGCAGCCCGAGAGCTGGGGGAATACGGCCGCCGCAGGCCGTAATTACAGCATTATGCTAATTGGGCCTGGAAAACATCAACCCCCTCCTTGCAACTTTTGTTTGGAGGCTTGAGCGCGGGTCAAGCGCCTGAAGTTTTTCTAATTGTGCTGTTCCCTCTGACGCAGAGGAGGGGGAAGAATCGTTTTTTCCCTGCGTGGAGCAAACTTCTTGATCGTAATCGCTGGTTGTAGAAACAAACAGTCCTAAGGAGAGAGGGAGAGGTCCCTGATGAGCCTCCCTGCTAAAGGCGGGGAGATCTGCTGGAGGATGCTGGTGGCAATCTGGCCACCCCCTGAGCCTCACAAGGCAGCTGAGCTGCTGCAAGCTGGGAGAAAACTGGTTTGGTTAAAAAATAATCTTCTTTGCTGCTCCCAAAAAAGGAAAATGTTTGAAAGGAAATGTTCTTTTCTGAAAAGATCAGAGTTAATCACATCTGGGTGTGCAGAGTTGCCCGTAAGGCATGGAGGAGGTTGTGGGGGGAGAGCAGAGCGGATACCCCCTCCCCGCTCTCAGAAAGCTGATAAAGAATTACAGATTTGATATTAGCAGCTGAGCAGCAAATGACCCAAAGGCTCCTAACCCTCAGTGGGCAAGCATCTTCCTGAGCTGGGCCACCAGTTCCATCCATCCCTGCCCGGCCCAGCCTTTGCAGAGGTACCGAGGTGTCCCTGCACCCGCCTCTAGTGTTTGGATGAGCATTTCACGTGTTCAGCCTAAAATTTGGGTCGTTGAGGCCCCAGCGCTGCTGGGGCAGCACCCAGTGCATCGGGTACTGATGGCCAGTGCTCGCCACGAGCGTTTGCTTTGTTCCAGTGCTTCATTATTCTTATTTACCAAAAAAAGTGAGGCCTTATTTCCTGTTGAATTTGTTTAATTATTTTTTGCAGTTTTCCAACAGCAACACTTGTGCTGCCTGCGCCTGCGAGGAGCTTTGATCAAGCTCTTGTACGTCGATTACCAAGATTCACTTATAAAAGCACGTAAATCAAATACAAATAGAACAACATCTCCCCCAAACACAATAGGCTGTATCCTTAATGTGGTGACACAGCGATTTGCATTTTATTTCCTTGTTATTTAAAAAAAAAAAAAAAAAAAAAAGGCTTTTATTATAAGCCTTGTTAGAGGTACTTCAAAGGCAGCAGGGCCAGGGAGCGGCTCCGGAGAAGTTTGCAGAGGCTTTGCTGGCCAGCGAGCCTGGCGTGTGAGCCTGCAGCTCTGTGGAAAATCCAAATATTGTCAGGCAGGTTTAACTGGGGGTGGGGGGAAGAACGCAGTGCCGCTGCGGTGCCGTCGGTACCGAGCGGGCTGGGGGAGCAGCCGGGACCCCCCGCGCCCCTCACTGGGGTGATGGGGGGAGAAGAGGAGGGTGGTGCGCGGGGCTGGGGAGGAGACCCAGCGCTCCGTCTCGGAGGCTGCTCTCTGGGAAGAGACGGAAGGAAAGTGGCAGCACCCTGTTCCGCAGAGCGGCTGGCAGCGTGCCACCGCGCTCCCCGGCTCTGCCACCGGCCCGGCACCTTCGCTCCCCGCCACGGAGCATCCAGATCAAACCCCCGAAGCAACCGGCCATCTTCCGGGCAGGAGCAGATTCGCCGAGCGCTACCTTAAGAAAAGTTATGCGTGGCTATATTTAAGGAAGCGGGAGGGGGTGTGCGCTGGCCCCGTCCCAGGGCCTGGTGCCAGCCCTGGCCTCGACGCCTGCGCCCGGTGCCGGCCGCGCACGCAGGTGTCCGGACGCTTCTCCTCCGAGCCAGCCGTCGCCTCGCCGCCGCCTGCAAATGCTCAGCTTCTTCTGGCTGAGGTGAGGGCTGGGGGGGGGGATGATGGGGACAAGGAGGAGGAATTGGGGGGGGGACGGGACACCCCAGGGCTGGGTGAGCAGGAGCCAGCGTCTGACGCCGTTGTGGAGGCTCCCACGCCCGGCGGTGGAGCGATGGCTTGTCCTGGCTTTGCGTCAGCGCTGGGCGGCTCTGCCAGGGGGGCGGGGAGGATGCGGGGTGAAAGCCCCTTGTGCCCCCCACTTTGCTCGCCCCGGGCGATGCCCTCTTGCCCGTGGGGTTTGCAGCGAGCTGCTCTATCGTGAGCGGCACCGGCAGCTCGCCAAGGGGGGGGACGTGGCACCCTCCCCCCCCCCCGACTGCAATGGGGACAGCAGGAGAGAGACGGCAACATCAACCCTCCTCCAGGTCTTTCTGGGTGTGCCAGGAGGGATGCCATGGCAGGGCTTGGCTTGAATTGGCCTTTTTTTTATTTAAAAAGGGGGAAGGGGGGCAGGTATTTGGGAAGCATGGGCACAGGGCTGCAGCTCTGGCGTTGTGGGGAGGGCAGAGGGATGCGCCAGGGCTGGCTGGGGCAGCATGGGTGTCTGGATGGGGGTGGGTGGCACGATACCGTGGTCATCTCCACCCTGGTGGTCTCAACGGAGGTGGTCTCCACCACGGTGACCACCACAGTTGAGATCACCAGGGTGGAGGCCACTGCACCGCCGTGGTGTCCGCCTTGGTAGCCTCCACCCTGGTGGTCTTGACCGTGGTGACCACCACTACGGTGGTCTCGAGATCACCAGGGTGGAGACCACTGCACCGTCACGGTCTCCACGGTGGCAGGCTCCACCGTGGCGGTCTCGACCGTGGTGATCTCCACGATGGTGGTCTCCAACTTGATGGTCTCAATGCTCCCGCAGTCTCCTCCCTAGGAAAGCCGTGGGTGGCAGGGCAAAGGTGCCTGGGCTGGGCGATGCTGTTGGGTGTCCCCACGCTTGTGAATTTTGGCCCTTGACACTGTTTGCAGCCGTAACGGGGTGATGCGCGGCTTTGCTCTCCCCCTGGGCTGGAGGCAGCAGTGCCAGGGCACCTTTGTCCCCTGGGATGCTCCCTGGGAGGACTTTGTCCCCATGCAAACCAGCACCTGCCTTCCTGGGAGCCTCCCGGGAGGTGCAGAGAGCGGCTGGGCAGGGGCACGGATAGGGCTGTGGGCTGTGGACACGGCCAGGGCTGGGGATGCTTCACCCAACGTTGAACCGAGCGGTGGAGGGGGATGCGAGGGGGCTGGAGGGGTCCTGCTGCGCTCGTCTTGAGCAAATTTTCCCCACGGGTGGTGGATGTAAAACCATCGGCCCCTCGTAAGGGGAGCAATCCTTGTGCCCCTCTCCGCTGCCTTTGGCCCTCAGGTGGCACTTTCCTGGCCCCACGCCTTGCTCTGCTTCATGAAACTCTAGGGAAAGCATGACATGCCCTCCCAAAAATACCACTTGCAGGGTGCCCTGGCCTTTCTTCCAGGCCGGCTGCCCTCCTAGGGTCCCGCCAAGACCCGTCACAGGGAGCTGCTGTGTTTCCTCACCGGGCAGTGACCTGGTGATTTGGCCCTTCTCGTCCCAGCGGGGCCACCACCCTGACAGCCCCACAAAGGAGGCGGCACCCTGCACCCCACCCCCAAGCAAACGCTGTGGGTCTTGTCCTGGGGACCCCGCTCCATCCTTGTGGGCGTGGGGTGATGGAGCTGAGCCGTGCTGGGCATCTCCGCTGCTGCTCGCCAGTGGGGTCCCGCTGGAGGGGACATCTCCCCTTGCACAAAACCTGCTCATCCCACCCCCGGGAGCACCGGGGCTTTGCCGCTGCTGGCAGTGGGGCAGGCGGGCCAGGTCTCGGGGGAAGGAGAGCCCTGACTGCCCTGTCGAGATGGCAGAATTTCCCAAAGTAGGTCAGGTTAATTTTTTAACGCGTGCAGATTTGCTTGTTACCATGGATATTGCTCAATTATACACCAATAATCCCCCATGAGAACTTCATTGTCGCTGCTTTCCTCCCCCCCATCTCCCTCCCTTTTTTCTTTAAATATTCCCAGGGAATATGTGACGGGAGTAGGAGACTAGAGCCAGGAGAGGGAAAATGGGTTTTCAGTATTTGGGAGGTGGTGGTGGGGTGGTGGGAGAGCTCTGGAGGGCAGGCGTGGGCAGTTCGAGGTGTGGGGCTGCCCCACTTTGCCCAGACCCCCCCACAGCCCAGCAGCCGGGACCCCCACCCTGGCTTCACCCTCATCCCTCCCTCCCACCCCCTGCTTGGGGGTGGCTAAAGCAAACACGCCGCTTCCAGCGGGCTCAAGGATTTGGGGGAACGACCGCTCTCCTGCATCCCTGCCCAGCATCACCCCAGGGGCTGCAGGACCCGAGGGGGTTTTGTGACAGAGGTTCCCCCAGGCTGGTGGCCCCCCGGTGATTTCCCAAAAGGCCAGCGCCCAATTTGGCAGCGGAGACCATCCCCAGAGCTTGTGGGTGCTTTAGTGCTTTGGGACACGCCCCTGCCAGGGTATAGGAGAGCAGTGGGGTGCCACAGGGTCCCTCTCCCCCAGTATTTGTGGAGCTGCTGGGGTGTCTTCCCCTTTGCGCCGCCCCCCCAGTTTGCTCTGTGGGCTTCTTACGCCTTCAGCAGCACAGGAAGCGAGCGTGGCAGGTGGCAAGAAAAATATTCTGCTGGAAAGGTTTTTTTCTAATGAAAACTTTTTTTTTTTGGGGGGGGGGGGGTAGAAATGGGTCACTCAAGGGGTGACAGAGTAAGAGCATCATCTCCTGGGTACTGCATCCTGTTGCCATGGTGACCCGAGGGCTACATCAGTCAACAGCTTTAAAAATGTGACAGTTGAATGAGGCTGGAGATTTTAATGAGGACAGACACTTGCTCGCTTAGTTTCGATAACCGAATACTCTATAAATACTCACTGGCTGAATGGTTCCAGGACTCTGGAGCAGGTTTGGGACGCGTGGCCGGGGCACTCCCCTTCCCCGGGCAGAGCCCGGTGCTCTAGGGTGGGAGTGTGGGCTGGGGCCACCTCGGAAATAGTCGGGTAGGGGGGATATATGAAAAGCACACATCTAATTTTTTAACTCCCTTCTGCTAACCCAACCCAGGGGAAAGGGTGACACGGTTGCAGAGCCAGGAGCAGGTTTGGGTTTCCGCCGTATGGCCCGAGCCACCGCCATGTGCCTGCATTAAAGCAAACCTGGGGAGCAAACCCAGCTTGATAAACGGGAGAGTAACGCTTGCACCGGGCTCTTGCAGGGGTGGGTGAACCATAAGCAAGCTCCCAAGCCTCAGTAGCAAGCCCGGGGAAGTCATGGGGCTGGGAAAGCAAAGCCCAGTGCTGCTGAGGCAGGGGTGGGAGGCTCTGAAAGGCTCAGCGGTGCCGTTTGCATCCCTGGGTGCTCTGAGCACCCTCATTTCGTACCAACCACAACGGGTGCGCGCCGTGCGATGCCCCAGCGCTGGCTTCTGCAACGGGCTGATGAAGCAAATCTGCAGCTTCCACTTTTTTGTCCCTGTGCCAAAATCAGTTGTTCCCACACCTTGGGGAAGGAGCTGCCACCTCCGCCAGCCCAGCTGGACCCACGCGGGAGTGGGATTCTTGCTGGGACAGCTGAGGACATGTCAAGGTCCCGTCAGGCTTGTGTTTAAAAGCGAGCTGTAAATATAAAGCCTCTTCCACTTGTTTTTGCTGCAGCTCCCACACTGCCATTCCTTGCAATGTCACCGCTGTGTCCAGCTGGGACCCAGTCGCAGTGCATGTGGCCGGGGAGCCCGTGGGCACCCAAAGGGTACGTGATGTCCTTGGGGGATGCCAGGCAGAGGGGCCGGTGCAGGGCACAGTGGCGTCGCTGGTGCCGGGCGCTTCCCATTTGCTGCCCCCGGTACCACCCGTGCACAGCGTGAGTCCCGTCTGCCGCCAAAAATACTCTCCTGGCTGTCTTGTGACCACAGCAGTGTCATTGTGACAGCCGGGGGAGCTTCAGGACACAGCCCTCTGTCACATGGAGCAACATGGAAAGTATTGACACAGCGTCACCGACCCAGGGATGGACCACAGCACCGCGCCCTGGGCTCGGTCCAGCACCCCAGAATAGCTGGGACTCTTTCCATCACAGCTGGTGAGTGCTGGACCTGACCCCCGAGGAATGGCAAGTGCGAGCCCTGGGCTTGTCCTTCTCTGTTTCGGCTCTGTCAGCCCCCTGATAGGTGCTGGCGAGGGGCTGGTGCCGTGGGGAGGGACGTCACCGTGGTCACGGGGTGTGACAACCCGCTGCGTCGTTGGCTCTGTGGCACCCGCCACACATACTGCTTTGCCCCGGGCCGGGGGGGACAGCCACAGGCACCCTCCACCCCCAGCTCTGCTGGTCCTGCTGTAACCCGGAGCCACTCTTCTCCTTTGCAGGTGTCTCTTAAAAATGGTCAAGGAGACTATTGTAGTCCCTGAGGAGATCTTGAGCTTCTGTTGCAATGGCCTCCAGGTACCCCTCTGTGCCGTGCCATTAACCCCGGGGCTCCCCATCGTGCCGGCGGCTACTAACCAAAGGCTGCGCCGGGCAGATGCCCCACACCGGCTCCAGTTGCATCTGCTCCCCAAGCCTTCCCCATCAGCATCCCCGGCCTCTTGCTGGCTACCATGGGGTCAGGGCTGTTCCCACGGGGTGCCGGCTTTTTCTCTGAAATTTATAAACGGTAAGCACCGGGAAAACAACCGGCGGGAGCTCCGGCCAGGCTGGCTGTTCCTTTTGCAGCAGGCGGCTTTGGAGCTCTTTCGTTTGCTGGCTCGCACCCCAGAGCCTGCCAGCTTCCTGAAATAGCTCCGTGGTACTCGTGTAGGCACCTCGGTACGCTGGGGAACAGCCCGGGAGGTTCACAGGGGGGATTGCAGACCGCTGGAGGGGCTCCGGCGGTCGGGGCTCCATCTCACCGTGGGATGGGGGCCCCTTTGCTGTAGGCTCGGCTTGCCGCGTTCGCCGCCGTCTCCGCTAAGCTGAGGTTTGTGCCATTCCTGGGATGTCGTGTACCAGTAGCTATGGAAACAGAGGTTAGACCCACTAGAGAAAAATGCTATTCTGAGAGGCGGTGAGCTCAGGGTAGTCGGGAAAGCTTCATTTTCAGCACAAAACCCATCTTTAAAAGAAGCTGGGCAAAGCAAAGGGCAAAGAAGCTGCTGCAAAGGGGCCCTCGCAACAAGTGCTGTAAATGGGAGCCACAGTGGGAGCAGAAAGCGGAAGGAAGGGCTGTAACGAAGCCCAGACTGCTCCTCGTGTCTCTTCAATTACTCACTGGGCTAACTGAGTTCACCCCTTGTGTAACATGGCCCGCCTGAGATCTAATCAGCTATTTTTCTTGCCGGCACACTTGCAATGCTAAGGTCTCCCTCCCAGCCCGCCTCCCGCCGGGGGGACCGTCAGGAGCAGCTCCCTGCCCAGCAAACTGTGAAGCCAAGGAGGAACGTATTTGACTGTGCAAACAACCCCAAACCAAGGATGATTCCCCTCCTGCCTCCCCTGCTTGTGCCACACAGGAAAAACTGCTTGCGGTGTTTCTTTCGGCAAAGGGGGTGTTGGTGGAAGGTGTGGAGCATCGCTGCATGCCCAACCCTGGGCGCACAAAACCACCCTTTGCTGTGGCACCCTGAAAAAGAAGCTGTCGGCGGGAGCAAACTTCGTTCCCAGAGAATTGATTGACTTTGGGAGGAGGTTTTGCACAATTTTGGGGAGGAAGTGGCTGGGTTGGGGCTTCTCTGCTGCCACGGTGGCAATAAATGGCCTGGAAACCTGTAGTGATCACCCACGAAGCTCTTTTTAGAGTGTTTTTTTTTGCCTTTTGGCTGTGGGCATCATGTCTTTGGCGATGGGCTGGGTGAGTTTTGGAGGTGCCCGAGGCTGTGCAAGGCTGGGGGTCTTGCGGGCTCTGCGTGGGGAGGGGGCTGCGTGGGTCACTCTTTCCTTGAGGGATTTTCCTCCCATTTGGGTAAATGGAGCTCTCATCCCTTGCAGGGCTCGACCTCCCTGCCGCGTGCCCAGGAGCCAGAGGAGCGGGACGAGGCTCCGGGGGCCATGGCGAGCCCCTCGCCCACCCGCAACCCCACCGAGGTGCAGATGAGCCAGCTGGTGCTGCCCTGCCACACCAACCACCGCGGCGAGCTCAGCACCGGCCAGCTGCTCAAGTGGATCGACACGGCCGCCTGCCTCTCCGGTGAGCCGTCCTCTTCCCAACGGAGCCATCGGCCCGCCGGGATGGGAGGGAAGGGACCTGCTGGCATCCCCGGGAGCCGGCTCAGTGGCAGCGTGCCCGGCGGTCCAGCACCGTCCCTCGGAGCTGGTGCCAGCTGGGGACCCGCGTCACGGTCGTTTTGCTGAGTAATTAGAGAGAGCAGGACGGGAGGGGGAGGAGACGTGCGCTGCAGCACGCTCGCTTGCTCAGGGTCAGATCGAAATCAATGCCTGCTTCTTCCCAAACGCCGCCTTTTCCCTTGCCTGGTGTGCCAGGGCATGGCGAGACCGGGTTGGTGACGTCCCCAGCATCCCGGCAGCAGCCAGAGAGCTCTGCCAGACGGGGCCGAGCTCCTCCGCTCGGGGAGAAGCGCCGGAGCTCGCCCGACCAGCCGCCCTACGGAACACACTGCAGGTCGCTGAGCACGGGGAGGTTATGGCAAGGAAACGGGTGCAATTTTTGCAGCTTGACAAGGTTCCCAGGGCCATTTTGCAGTTTGAGGTTCCCCAGAGTCCCGAGGGGGAGACGGAACAGCGAGACGGCTTTGAAATATTTGCTGCGTACAGGGAGGTGATACTGGCTGCCTGCGCATCCCCACAGTGGCTGAAAGCATCGAGGGGAGGCAAACAGCGGGGCAACGTGCCTCCTAGTTACAACACACCTCCAAACCCTGAAAACATCTGCACACCCACACTGCTACTGGGCGGGGAGAAACCCCAAACCCTGCTCTTGCCCCTTGCAAACGGGGCCAAGAGGGCACGAGCAGGGAAAGGAACAGCAGCCGGGGTTCCACCGGTGTCACCAGCCCCGAGGCAGCAGCCGTGGGGCAGAGGAGCCGCCGATCCCCTCGCACGCTCGCTCGGCGTGTTGCTGCAGGTTGCTGATGCAGTTTGTTTTTCCTTCCCAGCCGAGAGACATGCCGGCTGCCCGTGCGTCACGGCTTCCATGGATGATATCTATTTTGAGCATACCATTAGGTAAATACGCTGCTCTCCAGCGGGGCACGCGTCGGGGGGGGAGGCGGATGGTTTTGTTTTGTTTTGTTTTGTTTTTTTCCCTCCCCCCATCTGCTGGGTGCAACAGGGATGGTGGGATTGCAGCTGGGACAGCAAGCAGCATGTTTGGGAGGGGGGGAGGATGAGGTGGCAGTGCCAGGCTCACAGGGCAGCCAGGGATTGAGGCTCCGGCTCCGCCGTGGGGCTGCGGGCCAGCTGTCTGCTCTGATTTATCTGCTGTCTGGTCGCCTGGGGAGCTCCTGCTGGGTTGGCTTCCCGGTATTTCCCCCAACCCCAGCTCCTCCCTGGCTTTGTTCAAGAAACACTCTGACTTAGTGCTCTGGAAAACTTAAATCTTGCGAATCGTGCCTCTGCAGTGGCCGCGTGGGTGGCTGGTGTGCGGCGGAGCTCACCCACCCACCGGGTGCTGGGCGGGGGGGGGGAATGGGACGTCCTTGAGCATTGCTTTGTGAAGTGCACCAGGCTGAGCTTTGCCCAGCCAAAATCCCCTCCCAAGCTCGTCCTGGCATCCCCCTGGGCACTGCCCCAGCAGAGGCGCCCACTCCGATGCGCACAGCCCCTGGACTGCCACGTCGTGGGGGGACAACATAAACATTCCCACCAGGCATAGGTCTTACATGCCCAAAGCGGTCTCCTCCCATACCCCTCCCCACCCCCAGGAAGCCCACCCACCTTTACTCATTTCTCAGAGCCCCCATACCCCTCCGAGCAGGGGCCTGCCCATCTGCTCACCCCTTGGGTACCATCTCAGGGGACTTGGTGGGTGTTTTGGCACAGGGTACCTACAAAAGTGCCCAAAGGGCCCGATGGCAGAGGTGCCAGCGTGCTGGCAGAGGGGTTTTGGGGACCCCCCAGTCCCCTGGGGACCTGCTGGCCACAGGTTGGCCCGGCCAAGCAAGCCGTGCAGTATAGGATCCATGCTGCCCAGCAGCTCCCCACCATGCAGGTCTACCCACTGGGGCGGAGACCAGTTCAGACACCCTGGGCTGGCGTTGGGGTCCTGGGCTGGTGGCCAGTTTGTTTGGTGCCAGGAAGTCTGACTCGCTCCTGAGTTTCACTGTCATCCCCAGGGAACGTTGAACTCCCACTTTCTCCATCCCACATCAGACGTCGGGGTGCTGGTGGGCCGGCAAGCCACTGGCAGAGGCTGGGGTGCCCGTCGGTGCCACCATCGGGGTCGGTGCCCCGCGCCGAGTGGGCTCAGCAGGTGCTGTGCCCGGCACCGTGCGTCTCCTGCTCCCAGGGGAGTTTTGCCCAGGAAGCTTTTCCCTGTGGATTTCAGGAGTGGGAGGATGGACCAGAGCTCCAGAGTGTTAAATCAAGCCCTGTGAGGCATTCGCCCCTCCTCGGGGGTGAGCCAGGCACCGCTCCAAGGGGTCAGGGAATTTGTGCTGCTCCTGGCTCAGATCCTGCTTGCTGTGGTCCAGCTTAATGCTCCGAGCGAGGGCCCTGGCAGGGTTTTCCCGCAGAGCTGTTTGAAGGCAGAGGAGCTTTAGGGTGGTGTTTGCCATCCGTTCTCCTCCTTCCCTGGCTGTTTGTGCTTTCCGCTGCCCTCCCACTGCGAGGGAGAGACCCTCGTGGGCAGGGAGGGGCTGTGGGTGGTGGGAGGGGAGCAGAGGAGACCCCAAAACATCACTGACTTAAAAACTCACCGGCTGGGCATTGGATGCTCCGCATCCCTCAGCCCTGCCGCGTGGAAGTGCAGCCTCTTGGGAGGATTTCACGTGGGTTCCTGTGGTTTTTATGGCATTGGCTTGTGCCATTTGATAAGGAGAGAGAGGATAAAGCATTTTTGAGGCTGTAATAGAGACATTTGGGGCTGCCGATGCCCCTGCTCAGACCCCAGTCCTCGCATGCCTCTCGTTGCAAACCCAGCTGGAGCATCCATGCTCCAGCCTCACCACGCCACCGCTTCCTTCATCTCTAACCCTCTCCCCCCCATCTTGCTTTTTCTTTTTGCACCAGCCAGCCGTATATAAACCCTCCTGGGCAGCGGGACGGGAAGAGCGGTGTCGGGTACGGACGTTTGCAGCCTTAGAGCAGCCGGCCTAACGCAGCGCTGCCGTGAGTTGGGAGCGTTAACCCCACTGACGCGGCACGGCCTGGGAGGTGCACGGCGGCTGCCCACGTAACCCCGCTAACGTTTCGTTGCCGCTGGGCCCGGGGTCCGTGCCGGGGGGGACGGCCAGAGGCCCCGTCCCAGCCCCTGCTCCAGCCAGAGCCAACGTGCAAACCGTGTCGAGACGATTGCGGTCGTTTGAAGCCCGAAGTCGTGCGTGGGGGCAAGGAGGAAGTTACGGTGCCGAAGCGCACGCTGACTCTTCCTTGCTTCTGACTTTGAACCCTCTGTGGTGCAAACCTGCGGTGGCGGTTATAGGGTTTATTTTTCCACTGAGTTTTCTAGCACTGGCCTCTGTTAGGGAATGAAGAATATTCTTGATTTAATTCGGTAAAGTCTCTGTTTGCTGTCGGTGTTACAAATAAGCTGCATTAGGTCAGTACCAGCCTGGAGTAGGTTAGGCTGCAGAGCTGAAGCTGTTTGTATGTTTACTCTGAAGCCTACTGAAGGCGCAGAGGAGAGCGCCTGGACTCTGCCAGCAGCAGTTTGCTGCCAGCAGATGTCTCGTGAGAGATGATGCAAACTATTGCTGGCCGGATCCTGCCTCCTGCTGTCTCCCAGTACCCCAAGGCGTCCATTGCTGGGAGACCCTGGAGAGGAGCAGTCAAAGTGCCTGCAGCTTTGGGGTTGCTGCTGCTGCCAGATGAGTGCCGCCCCATGGGTGCCCCCCTTGAGCAGGACAGCGCCGTTTGCTCTGGCAGGAGCGTGCATGCGTGCATGGCGGGGGGTCCCGAGCAAACCTCGGGCACCTCTGCACCCCTCGGGCGTCCCGGCAGCACCCCAGACCTGGGGACCCATTTGCACGCAGCTTCTCGGGGGTGACATCTCGCTGCCGGGCTGGACGCCCGTGGGTTCCCATGGCTGGCGGTGGCTGTCCCCGTGTCCTGCCGGCTGTCCCAGCGTGTCCCCGCTGTCCCGGGCAGCCGGTACCGCCGCGGGCAGCGAGCTGTAATGCCGCAGCAGCTCGGCGTGGAGACGCTCAGTGCTGGCGTGTGTGCTGGACAACCGTGGGCCGTCGCCCCCTCCCCTCCTATAACCCCTCACGTGCTTTCTCCTCTTTCTGTTTTTCAGCGTCGGGCAAGTTGTCAACATCAAAGCCAAAGTGAACCGAGCCTTTAACTCCAGCATGGAGGTTGGTGTGCTTCCCCCCTCTCCAGCTTCACCCCCTGTCCCCCTCCCCCTCGCCAGGCATCCGTCCCCACCAGCCACACGTGCCCCTTCACCACGGCCAAACACGACAGCCCCAAACCCTCCTTGCGGTTCCCAGCTTTGATCCTGCATCTGGATCCCCTCCCTCTGGGCCTGGCCCCGGGGTGTTTGGTGGGATGTGGGTCTCCGGGGGAGCAGAGCTGGCTCTCAGGGGTGCTGTGCCCTCTCCCAGGTGGGCATCCAGGTGAGCTACGAAGACCTGTGCAGCGGGAAGCACTGCAGCATCTGCAAGGCTTATGCCACCTTCGTGGCGCAGGGCCCCTCCGGCAGCAAGGTGAGCGGTGGCTGGTGGCTGTGGGGTCTCGGGTGGCCCCTGAGCAGAGAGAAACGGCCTCTCTGGGGAGACCCAGGCTGGGCTGGGCCCGGCTTTCCATCAGGGCACGCGCTGTTGCTTCGTGGCTATCTGCACATGATCGGCTCGGTGATCCTTTATCCCGTGTGTGCGGGGTGCCGGGTGCTGCTGTCCCCTCCCCTGTGCCCAGGGAGGGCAGGGATGTTCTCCCCTGACAGCGCCGGAGGACGGGTCCTTAGCATCGGTGCCCATCCCTGCTGTGTGACACCTCCCAGGGGATCCCCGTTTGGCTGCAGGACCTGTCTGCCCTCTGACCCCCACCGTGAGCAGCTGTAACATAACCCAGGAGGAGCACGGCCGGCTCCGACACACGTACAGTGCTACAGGGGCATGTGCCGGCGCCCGAAGGAGCCCTGCCCTGTCCCGCAGCGGGACTACACCCTGCCCGTGCCCCCTTTGCAGGTGAAGCTGAAGCCGCTGACCCCGCAGACGGAGGAGGAGAAGATAGAGCACAGCATCGCTGCCGAGCGCCGCCGCATGCGCCTGGTCCACAAGGACACCCTCAAGGACCTCCTCACCCGCAGCCCCCGTGAAACCGGTACTGGTGCCCTGCAGCCCGGGCTTCCAGCCCCAAAATAGCCCCGACGCCCACTGGTGACATCTTCCTTCCTCGGCGGGATGCTGAGGGTGGGGTTAAGAGTGGTTTGGGGATGCCCTGGCGGTGGAGGGGAGGGATCAGCCCCACCATCCCGTGCCCCCCAAGTCGGGACGTGTGGGAGGGTCGATGCAGTGGGAGGGTGGCTGTGGGGAGAGGGCTGGTGGGACACCGTTCTCCCCCCACGGCAGAGCTGGAGACGCGGGACGGCAGCGTGGCGGTGCCGGCAGAGAAGACGCGAGTGGAGAGCGTGGAGCTGGTGCTGCCCCCGCACGCCAACCATCAGGGCAACGCCTTCGGCGGGCAGATCATGGCCTGGATGGAGAACGTGGCCACCATTGCAGCCAGGTGACCCCGGGGGAAATGACAGTGTGCCTGGAGGGGACACACAGCCAGAGCGGCACTCGGCTGGCTGGGGACACAGCCAGGTTATGGGGACCCTCCAAAGGGATGGTCCCCAGCCCCTCACCCCTGGGCGATGCCGTACAGGGGGTCCCACGGGGTGCTGGAGGACTCCAGGGAACGGTTCACACTCGTCCCAGTTTGCTTATTGTCCCTTCTCATGGCTGGTTTTGGTGGGTGAAATCCCGGGGTGCCATTTTTGGGGTTGTCCTCAGCTCTGGCTGGGTTGGGGGGGGTACGTTTTGTTGCTGGGTGATGGGGCCACGGCCAGGGAGGGTAACGCCTGCGCCCCCACAGCCGTCTGTGCCATGCCCACCCCACGCTGCGGGCCATCGAGATGTTCCACTTTCGGGGACCATCGCAAGTCGGGGACCGCCTGGTCCTCAAAGCCATTGTCAACAACGCCTTCAAAAACAGGTGGGTGTTGGTGGCAGGGGTCCCCATCCCACCCTCCCGGAGGCTCTCCGCCCCCTCACCCCTTCTGCTCTGACACCCCTTTTCCGCCCCCCCCCCCCAACCCCGCAGCATGGAGGTGGGGGTCTGCGCCGAGGCGTACGGCCAGGAGATGTCCATCAGCCGAAGGCACATCAACAGCGCCTTCATGACCTTCGTGGTGCTGGACCAGGAGGGCCGGCCCCGCACCCTGCCGATGGTGACACCCGAGCCGGGGGTAAGGACGGGCAGGGCTGGCTTCTCCCCACCCTGGTGGCACGGGACCCCCAGAAATCCCGCTTAGCCCTGAAAGGCTCTCGGATTCATGGCAAAGCAAATGCAGTTTTATGGTGATGGAAATGGAATTGCTCGATAGCAAGTGAATTAAATTGATTGCTTGGTATCGCTAATAATAAAATAAACCATTTGCCTGCGCAGAGATGGAGCTGTATTAGCCATGCAGGGTTTAACAGAATATCGCCTGCAAGTTTCTGCTCAACTGTTCTGTAAGTTTAGGGGAAAGAATGCAAGTCTCTTAGGTTGTTTTTACCTTTCAAAGCACCCTGAGCCATAATTTGCTCAGATCCAAATATTTAAGAAAGGCTGTCACACGAGCACGGCAGCGAAGCAAACACCCGCGTGTCTTGGGGTACATCGTAGCGTGAGCGAGCAATGGCATCGCCTTCCCCTTGGCTGACTCCTGCTCACCTACGTGATTTTTTTGATGCCTTAAAACTAGGACTCTTCTCCCACCCTGTGGGAGAGCATCTCATGGCCGGAGCCAGGTTCCCTGAAACTGCTTCTCCACTCGCTTTAAAGCCCTGTGCTACTGCTTTCTTTGAAATAAGTTTTTTTTGGGGGGGGGTGTTATTTCCCAGGAGGGGACATCTGTATGTGCTAGTGGATGAAGTTTGCGTTTCAGTGGCTGTTTGCAGCTCTGCAGCCGCACGGAGGGTTTTTTTCCTCATGTGCCAGTGCCTGTCGCTTGATCACAGCACGCAGTGGCGATGCTAAAATAGCTCACAGTTAATCACTAACCACCACTGCCAGCGTAGCCAGGGTGGCAGCCAGCGAGCACAGGGGCTTTTCACTGCCCAACATTTTGCCCACTCCGCAAAAGATATCTGGTTGTTTTTTTCCCCCTCTCCTTTTCCTATTAACTTAATGTGCTTTTCCTATTAATCAGGATGGAGAGAGGAGGTACAGAGAAGCCAGCGCTAGGAAGAAAATTCGGCTGGACCGGTGAGCAGAAAAATCAAGCGGGATGTAGGGATGGAGGAAGGAGGGAGGGGGGGCTCAGCACTGGGGTACAGGGACAGGCTGTGCGTGGTTTGTGGCCCACCATAAGGGAAATTGTTCCTTCCCTGCAGAAAATACGTCGTCTCCTGCAAACAGACCGAGGTGCCGCTCTCCGTGCCCTGGGACCAAAGCAACAAGGTGGGTGCTGCCCCGCGGGAGTCGCTGCCTCCTGCCCCCCCCCCCCCCCCCCTCCAGCCCCTGACGTGCTGCCCCTGCCCCAGGTGTATCTGAGCTACAACAACGTCTCTGCGCTGAAGACGCTCGTAGCCAAAGCGAACTGGGCGCTCGCCAGAGAAAAGGAAAAGGTACCAAACCCTGCCCCAGCCCCCCGAGCTGCTTCTCGCCCCGAGACCGTGGGCGACCCGGGGGCTCGGTGGTGGTGAACGCGTCCCAGCCCACCCCCTGTGCTCCCCGAGGTGCGGATGTACACGCTGGAGGAGGACAAGTTCCTCTCCTTCCGCATCGAGATGTCGGTCCACATCGCCGCCGGCCGAGCCTTCTCCCTGCTCTCCGACCTGCGGCGCCGGCACGAGTGGGACAGCCACTACGCGTGAGTGCTGCGGGGCTTCCCGGGGGCACCCGGCCCTCTCCAAAACTCACATCCTTAAATTTAAGCCTCGTCGCTTTGGGTTTTTTCTGGGAGCAAGCGTTTTGCCTCAGAGCCACGACTGCTCCTGGAGACCTTTCACCGCGCATCCCTGTCGCCGGGGGCGCTGGCTCCACCTGCGCTGATGGCTGCGCTTTGCTGCAGAAAATGCCCATTTTGGGTCCCCCGACGTATTTGGGGCTGTAAATGCGGCCCCTTCCTCCCCAGCACGGTCTCTCCCGGCGTGACCTGTCCCCTCTCGCCTCGCAGGAGCGCGGAGCTCGTCCAGCAAGTAGACGACGACGACATGATCTACCACGTGGTGAGCCAGACGCTCAGCCGCGAGAACAAGCCGCAGGACTTCGTCATCCTGGCGTCCCGACGGAAACCTTGCAGCAAGGGGTAACCGTCCCCCCTCCCCAAATCCCTGCTGCCCACCAGCCGGGCTGTGCCGGCTCACTGGGCTCTCTCCTCCCCAGGGACCCCTACGTGGTGGCCTTTCGGTCGGTGACGCTGCCCACCCACCCCGCCAGCGCCGGCTTCACGCGGGGGGAGACGCTCTGCTCTGGTTTCTGCATTTGGCCGGAGTCGGAGGAGATGAGCAAGGTGCGATGCCAAGGCTGTGCCGTGGGGCGGTGCCGCCCGCACCCCATCGGGGAGGCTCCCCCATCCCCACGCACCCCTACTAACCATCCCCCCTGCCTCGCAGGTGGCTTACTACAACCAGGCCACGCCGGGGTACCTCAACTACGTCACCACCAACGTGGCGGGACTGTCCTCCAACTTCTGCGCCACCTTCGAAGCCTGCGAGAAGTTCCTGCTGAAGAACAAGGAGGACCTGATCGTGCGGCTGCAGGACCTCTAGAGCCGCGGCAGCCCTGCTGACAGACGGACAGACAGATGAGGGGGCACCTTGCTGGTGGAAGGGGACATGGGATGGTGGCACCCAGACCCGGCCTCTCCCTCGGGGGATTTGGCTGGAGCGAGGTCCCGGGGGCTGGAGGGGCATCACTGTACCGCCTCACGCCTTGCACTGATCTGTCATGTCTTTTCTACTTCCTTTTTTTTTTTTTTTTTTTTTTTTTATTCAGAAATTTTATAATCTGATGTACAGGACTTGGTTTTCTAGTTCACTTAACGCTACTTGAATCTTTGTATGATCCAAAGTCTTCCTAACACAGATTATTTTTTTCCCTCTCTCTTTTTTTTTTTTTTTTTTTTTTTTTTACTATTTCTTTATGGGGGAAACTGGTTCCCTTTGAGGCAGCAAAAGGAGAGAGGGGGCAGTGATGTGGGGATGGTGCCGTATCCTCACGGGTGCAGGGGTGGCTGGCAGAGCATCCCACTCCCCCCACATCTGCCTTGTGCTGCTTCTCTTCCCAGGCAGGGCTGGCCAACAGCCCCTGCTCCCGCCAGGCTGAGATCCTCCCCCGTGGGGCTGTGGATGGCGTGGCAATAAAAGTGCATTAAAAATTAAAAATATGTGTTCCAGGGGGTTCGCTCTGCGGCTGCCCAGTCAATGAGCATGGGGTGGGGGTCTTGCACCCGCAGCACGGCCCGGGCAGGTGTCATTTCCCCAGGAGAGGAGAGGGACGGGGTGGCTCAGGGTCACAGCCCCAAGAACTGCTGTCCCGGGGGCCCTCTGAGGCAGGAAGGGGGGTGTCAGCCGGTGCTCCGCGCTTTTTGGCTTTGGGGGGCTGCCCGGAGGCATCGCCACCACAGCAGGGGCAGCGCGGGCTGGTGCAGAGCCGGGGGGCTGCCCCTCGTCCTCATCCGCTGGGCACACCGACACCTTGAGATGTAAACCCCAAACTGCCTCGGGAGCACTTGGGAAAGCAAAAAAAAAAAAAAAAAAAAAAAATGACAAAGCCAAACCTTGTTTCCTTAAGTCTGAACAAGGCTGCTGAGGAGATGGGGAGGAGGTGCAAGCGGGTGCTGAAACCCAGAGCCTCAGAGGCTTCGAAACTGATCCCTAATTGCCCTGAGCACTAATGACTTGAGTGCCTCTGGGGGTGCTCCCCCACCCCCCCCACCCCCAGCCGCTTGGGTGGCAGCAGGGAGCTGTTCCACAGATGTCCCCAGCAGCGGAGGATGGGGTTAGGACCACCGCAAAGACCTTGCTGCCCACCTGCTTCTGCCCGAGATGCTCGGGGAAAGCCACCGAAACGCAACGCGGGGGGTGTGTGTGTGGGGGGAACACACCGTAGAAGTGTCACACCCCAGGGCACGCCTGCCCTCAGCCACAGGCCAGCCGAGAGCCACCTTCCAGGCTCTCCTGCCTTAGTAGCCGGGGGGGGGGGGGGGGGGGGGTAGGAGGGGGGTGGTTTGCGATGGCATTGAGGTTGCTGGAAGGCTTGCTGCCCGCTGGGAAGGCCACCAGCCCCAGCAGCCCTTGGGCACAGCGGGTTTAACGCGGCCCCCCCCCCGGGGGCGGCAGCCCTGCCCTCGCCTCGCAGAGCCCCCCCCCCCAAGCTTCACCCCCCCCCTCCCCCGAGGGCTTCTGCAGAGCTTAACCACGAGCTGATAACACCGCGCTTGGGGTGAGACGAGGCCGTGGGGGACCAGCAAGGAGCACAGGGTCTTTTCCAGGCACCTCAAGGTGCTTCCCCTTGCTCTAGAAAACCGCTTTGCCACCCAAACTCCCCACCCGGTTTATAAGCAGAAGGAGCCGCCCGTCCCTCTCCCCTGCGGCCATAAACTCCTAATCTCTGCCCTACCTCTGATGATAAACATCTCCGTACAAGGCCCGGCCCGGCGCTGCCCCGACCTCCCCCGGCTGCGCTATCGCCACAAGATAAAGCCGTCTCAGGCTGAACATGGTACAAAACATTCAATTTTTATAGAGCCCTCTTATCTCCTGAAACTCGGAGCAATCCTCCCTTTTTATCACCGGGATGTGAGCCATCCTTTCTACTTATCGTTAGAAATTGCTGCTGCTTGATTAAGTGCAGGGAATGATGTATTCGCCTGAACATTAAACTTTAACTGACCTCCCCTTCTCTTTAAGTACTGTGCTTTTTCCCGCTGCGAGGCCACGGTCAGCCCTCACCCCGACCTGGCTGGGTCCCCAGGGGTGCAGGGTGATGGAGCGGGAGCGATCTGGGGGCAGTGGGAAACGGATGGGAGCACAACAGAGCGCCGCAGCGGTGTGGAGCATCTTGTGATTTATGTGCAGGTGGGAAAAAAAACCCCAGCAGTCCTGGAGCATCTTCTGCTGGGGCGGGGGGGGGGGGGGGGGATGATGGGGGAGTGGTGGACAGCAGGATTGGGAAGCTTGGAGCGTGCCGGGAGCAACCGTCTCCCAACTGCTTCATCCCACAGGCAGCTCCCGGGGGAGGAACGGTGGGTGCACGGGAGCCTGTTGGGAGCAGCCCGCCCTTACCAGCCTCTCCCAGAGCCCCCTGTTTGCCCCTCTCCCCGTCCAAATGCACTGCACAATCAATCGCTATTTTAATTTTTTCCCTTAAATAAAAGAAATTCCCGCAGGGTCTTACCCCCTGCTCTGACCAGCCCTCCCGGCTGCAGTTTCTTTACACGAAGACACCCAGCTGCATCGCCGCTCTCGGCTGCTAATTCCTGCACGGAGGCAAACGATTTGGAGAGATAAATTTGGGACCCCGGAGCGGGAAGACTGCATGCTGGCTGCCCGCAGCGCCCATCGCTGCCTTCCTGCACAGCATGATGCAGGGAACAAAGCCCCGCCAAAGGACCACGGCTGCCTTTCCCAGGCCCCTGCCATCGCGCGGGGGACAGGGCTGCCGGAGGATGGAGCCGGGGAGCTTCCCAGAAATGCCATGAAGCTTTTGGAAAAGGGAAGGCCACGCAGCCAGCACTCCAGGTGGGATCCAAGTGCCTTCTCCAAGCACGTGATGGTACCATCACGAGGTTTCAAGGACCTGATTTTATAGATGCCTAAATAAATACATTGGAATTGATATATAAAACCACAGCGTGTATTTATCTATTTTGCAGGGGGAGCGGGATGTAATTAGATGGCAGCGTCTCTCTCAAGGCTGTCCCCGCTGTAATTCACACCCCGAGGCAGCTGGCTGAGGGGAGGAGGAGGAATAAAGCAGGCGGCAGAATTGATGGGCTGCTCCCAGCAGCTTTGTTTTAATTAATTTCCAAAGCGCTCCTGTAGCAGAGCAGGCAGTTCCGTCGAAGCCTCCTTCCACCGTGCTCTCACGCTTGTGCCAGCGTGGGGTCTGGGGCAGCGGGGTGAGCCCAGGGGCCGGCCCTGCTTCTGCAAGCCCCGGGGGCTTTTTGGCTAAAGTGTGCAGAAGCTGTTGCTGTTTTTAGACAGGGGGGCTTTTCTCTGGCCGTGAAGCCTCTTTGGTGCCTGCAGCATGGACAGGCGTATTTGTCAGGGCTTTTCCTTTTCCCCTTTTTATTGACTTTCTGCTTGTTCCTGCTGCCAGGGGTCAGCTGGGGCTTTGGCTGGACTTTGCCGAAAGTCCACCTGAAACAGCTGGGTACCAGGTGCTGACGCAGTGCCCTGCCCCTAAGATATAAGGGGTTTGAAAATCGGGTTTGTAGCCTGGTCGGGTGCGTGGTGGCAGGGCTGGGAAGGGGCTGAGGCTGTGTCACCTCCAAAGCTCTCGCAGAACAAGCGGGTTCGTGAAGCTGAACTGCAAGGTGACGGCAGTAAGAGCAGTTCAGCAGTGAATCTGGGGGCGGTTTGGCTGACATGGAGGGACCCGGCCCCGGCCAGGACACCGTGCCGACCAGCGCAGAGCCCTCCGACACCATCAAACTGCTGCACCTGGTTTTCCTCTCCACCTCCTGGGGAATGCAGATCTGGGTGACCTTCGTGGCTGGTAGGTTGTGGTCCGTGCACGCTGCCGTGGCTCTCCGCCCCGGGGGGAGGCCCAGGGGTGAGGGCTTTGCCCCAGGACCTACCCGCTCTCTCCCCTGGCAGGGTTTGTGATGGGCAGCCACCTCCCTCGCCATACCTACGGCTTCATCCAGCGCAAGCTCTTCCCCTACTACTTCCACCTCAGCTCCGCTTGTGCCTTCCTCAACCTGACGCTGTTTGCCATGTACCACCCCAGCGAGCTGCTCAGCGATGAACAAACGACCCAGGTAGCCTCCCGCTTTAAAACACGAGCTGGCCGTAGCCCAAATCCCTTCCTTCACAGGGTCCCGCTCTGCTCTGCTCCCCTGAGGTTGGTTTGCAACCGATGACGAGGCCCACATGTGGCTCTGGTTAGAAGGAACCAGTTAGCATCCAGATTGTGCGCAAGAAGGGCTGGCGGGGTGGGGGGGGCAGAAATTTCATCCACCACAGGTGTGAGATGCTCACGGCGGGCTGTGCTCCCCTGCAGATCATCGTCTTCTTCGTCTGCGTCGCCGCTTCCGTGCTGAACACGCAGTGGTTCGGGCAGGTCACCTCTGCCATCGTGGCCGACATGCACCTCGTCGAGCGCGGCCACGGCCTCGGCCAGGAGGTCGGGCTGCTTCCCAGCAAGTCCTGCAGGCAGCTGCGTGCCTCCAACCCCAGCTACGGGCAGCTGGCCCGGCGGCTCGCCCTCTACCACGCTCTGTCCTCCCTCTGCAACCTCTGCTGCATCGCGTGCAACGGCTTGAGCCTGTACTACCTGGCTGCCCATCTCGCCGCCCTGTGAGAGCAGGAGGCGGCCCTGGCTGGCCAGAGCCCGTGCTCTGGGCAACGGGAGCCACCCTGCCGCCCTGCTGTAAAGTAACCCTGAGCTTCGGAGATTAAATTTCAGCATCTGTAGGATGGAAACGCTTTTACTGTATTTGCGCATGGTGCAGAAATTTAGGAATAGTGAAATGGAAGTGACTTCTTTAGAGCTGTCTGAAGCCAGCCTCCGTGATCTAAGCAGAAGTGTTTATGGCTGAACAGCTTCTTAACGCCCCATGCACTAGATGTGCCTAAAACTGCAGTGTATTTCTGCAATCACAGAGAGATTGCAGAAGAAAGGAGAGATTTAGAATTACTTTTAATTAAATGCTGAAAGCTAATACCGAAGCTCCTAAGATCCTGTATAGTGGCTGTACCAGTTACTGTAATGGATAAGGTTGTTGTGTTTGGGTTTGGAATTACTGTTTGTCATTCTCTTCTAGTATTTCATGAGGTGAGAAAAATTATTGTCTCATTTATTAGGCAGAAGTTAGTCTACTTAAAATAGATGTGTTTATTTCCAGGTTCTGTAGGACAATCAGTAAGGTAGCAAAAGGGTCAGTAAAACACACCGCTCTGAACAAAGAGCTCTGCTTTACCCTGGCCAGCAGCAGAGCCAAGCGGTGGAAAACCAGCAGCTGCTTAATCCCAGGCAGGAATCTGACTGCATCCATCCCGCTGCAACAGGCAGGTATCTCCCCAGGCCACTGCTGCTAAACCCCAGCAACTGCAGCCCTCCTCCAAGGAAATCAGTGATTTTTCACAGGTAAGTACATTTCCAGCTGCTGTTGCTTCAACTGCAGCCAGTGTTTGGCACTGCTTCAGGTTTATTTCAAAACCACCCGCAGCCTATCATAGAGGAGACCTTCTGTGAGCCAGCTGGATTTCTTTTTAAACAAATAATTCCCTCGTGTAAGCCTATTCTCCTATGCTCTGCTTTCCTGGAAGTTTCACCATGTGCCAAGATTATTTCTCCCCTGAAGTGTGCAAGGTATTTTTGTTCAAGCAGAATTTTGCAGTCTGTAGCTGGGATAACACGGGATTGCTCTTGTTTCACTCTTGCTCACTATAGTCGATGCACCTTCTTGCCAGAGAAGTACTTCTTAGAGAAAGGAGAACGCTTTACAAATGCCAAAACTGTTGGAGTCCCCACCTTTACAAAATACCTGCAAAGATTAAAAGGAGTCCTTTGGCTTCTTTGTAGCTGGCCAAGTGTCATGCAAAGCGAGTGACTTCCGCCCAGCTCAATAAAGACTGACCTCCAAGGATAAGGTTTTTTTGCTGATTAGCAGAGCCTCTTGGAGCCAGGGCTACACACGCCCGAAGAGGAGTGCTTTATGCATCAGCCCTTCTCCCAACAGCTACTTCTAATTAAAACAGCTGTTATTCTCCCTCTGGAAGGAGGTTTCTTTTGCAACTGCCCTTACAGCCTGAAATCTGAGGGCTTATGCAGGCTGCTGAGTTTTATGGAGTGACAGTTCAGGCACAGCCCGCAGCAGTGGACCTAGAGCTCTGCTCCCACTGTGCCAGAGCAGGCCACCAGGGCTGTGCGGCAGGCTGCCTCCAGCTAGAGACAAGATGGTGCAAGTTAACAACACCGGCTTTACAATAACTTTTTTGGCTTCACAAACAGCAAATTCTTCTCTCTAAATAACTGCACAACACTTTAAAGACAGTTTCAGAGTGAAACTGTGCTGCATGCTGTGTTGGGGGCTGCTCACGCAGCATTATTAAACAGTGAGAGCATTGTTAACCTTCAACACGCTCTCTTTATATGCTGTTGGGTTGTTTTTTTGTTTTGTTTTGTTTTGTTTTGTTTTTTTCAAGTAGTCCTGTGTAGATGGGATCTGAAACAGCCCTTTTGTGCTGCTGCTTGCATGTAGCCCAACTCCTCTTCCCATCTCCATCCAGTCCTGGAATGAGTTGTTAATTTTTTGGGGGAAAACCAGTAAAAATGTAAGCCGCCAAAGCCAGGCACAAAATCCATGCCCCACTGCTTTATACCTTCAAGAGTTAGGACTACTAAATCAAAGAGTTATGACTATTAAAGTCCAAGAGTTAGGACTATTAAATCGGAGAAGAAACTGCACCCAAGGCCTAAAGCTCATACTTTTTACCTTTGTGCTCTGGACACAGCCTCACCTTTCGTGCTGCAGCACTTGCAGCAACGTGTGTTCTGGGTTCAGCTCGTACATTTCTGCTCTTTCTTCATCTTCAAAATAGAGCTGAAAAAAATTTTGGAGGGTTATTAAATGCCTAAGGTACATGAAGGCAAACCACTACGCTGTGGACAGTCCAGTAACAACATTGCATATGTTGACTAGATGTTTATCAAACCTCTGTACCTTGAACCGACTGTGTCAGATGCTAACTTCAGCAGTGCAGAAACTTTTGTGTAAATTCCAAGTCCTCCCTGTATAAAACCATTTTAGCTTCCTATGGCAGTGGCAGCAGGAAGGCAGAACACACTGGCTGCTCCTGTGCTTCACAGAGAAGCAGTGCAAGTCTATGGGCGGCTTTTTAACGGGTGAAATGCAGCAATGGTATAAGCTAAACTGAGTAGGTTTAAAGATATTTGAACAAAATAGATTTAAGAGATTCGAATCCAGCAACTGTGCCTTAGACTGCACATACGCACAGAGCTATAATCCCAGTTTTTAATCTGATAAAGAACACAGCCACTGTCCTTTTGGACCTGTCTGCTCACTGCGCTACGGGCTGCGCTCTTTGTTGACTGGCACATGTGACACTGAAGCGGAAGATGAAAAATAAACATCTGTATCCTATGTACAACTTCTGAAAAATTCTCAAAACCTGCTGCAGCCACAACCAACTCTCAGCCCACCTTTGCTAAAGTCTTAAGAGATGTAGAGTGTCTTGATGGGATTAAGTGTTTGAAAAAACCCTATTTTTAAAATTGTATTTTCTCATTTGTATTGAGCAACTTCATAACGCAGTTAAAAAAAACAGGCATCCTACCATCTTGATGGTCTAAATCTTAATCACCATTACAAAGATGGAAATCTAAACAATGTCTATAAATACCTTCTATCAAATGCACTGTAAGTGGAAGACAAAAAACCTCTGATTTTCATGAATGAATTCTGTATCCACAGCAGCACATCTGGAAAATGTTTGAGTTTGTAAGTGAGAATGTAGCTCTCCAGAGCATTATTTCACATCCGTGTATGGTAAACAGGTAACGATGCCATTGCTTTCATACACTCACACCTGTGTATTTTCTCACTACAAAAAAAAACCCACTACCCTGAAATAGAAGGAAGTTCAAACTTCTCACCTCAAGATGGCTGGGAAGGTATTTTCTTTCTAAATCCCAAGGAGGTAACTCAGCAAACATCACCATTAAATGATCAATAAACCTAAAAGCCAAAATATACTTGGTTAGCTTAGACAAAGAGTTCAGCTTCAATAATTTGTACAGTTTGATTTGAACGATGGTAAAAATACATTAGCAAATTAGACAATAGACTTGAAAGTAAGTTTAGATCACTAATAGTTTCTCCCCTTCAAATTAATCACTTTCCCAGTGAGACCAAGGCCCTGTTATACCCAACTCACGGCACTGATTTCAACCTTGAGTAGTGCAACAACAAATTATTTTTAACTTTTCATTCTCACATTGAAAAAGATGTAAAAATAAACACCCTGCATTTCATCTAAAATTGATTTGCCTTCTACATGGTCCCACCAGCACCATGCTTCATCAGATCAGAGTGCTCAGATTATGCTCACGTGTCAGAAGTTTGTTTATTTTGGTACTTAAGGAGTACTGGTGGTCAATTTGTTCTAAGAATCCATTTTCACTTCCTTTGGTCATGAAAAGTCATCGTGAACACTACTGTGTAAGAACCACAACTCTACCGATCTGCTTGCACTGTAATTTTAAATCCTGAACTTATTAGTAGATCTGTGGGGAATACATCTCTCCCCACAAAAAAAAAAAAAAAAAGTTAAAATTCCAAGTTTGTTTAATGTTGCAAGATCAGAAGAAAGATAACATCAGGAAGAGCAGAGTTCCCACCTTGACCGTCACTTGCTTATAGGCTGAAAGGTCTGCAGCACTTCAGCCAAGCCTGCTGTAAGGCCTGTGGAGAGCTATGGGGTCACTGGTGGTTCCAAGAGGCCCCTTTTGGAAGCTTTGTATACCTTTTAAATTTAATCCTGTTTGAGACTCTATATCTGGAGCACCTTAATGAACCTCTGAAATCCATGCATGCAGATGGGTCACTGGTATTACTGGCCACGGGTCTAAGCTTTCACTACAAGCCCCTTTAATCACACTGGCTAAACACGACTTGTTTCTCTGTGCTATAAATTTATGTAACGTTGAGATTCTAGCCCTCATATTTTAAAGCAGCGTTTGTAAATCATAGAATAATTTGGGTTGGAAAGATCCGCAGGAGGTCATCTAATGCAACCTCCTGCTCAAAAGCAGTGTCAGCTAGGAGATGAGAAATCTGGAGCTACTTCATTAGCATGGCAGTGTTTCACTTGCTGTCTGTTCTCATCTACTCAAACATCTCTTTATGCAAGAACACTGCTGACAGTGCACTTACCTGGAGTTCTCGTGAAAAGCCGCAATGAAGTCTGTCTGCTTGTGCTCAGGGTACAGAAAGAGGACAGGCCAGTTTAAGTTGCCATCAGCATCTAAGTAAACCTTTGCCCCCGTGGCATTGTCAGAGTGGAACCCATCTAAGGATATCTCAGCCAGGCCATCTGCTACGTCCTCCTCTTCACCTGAAGGCTCAAGAGCCAGCTTAATATTTCTTTCCTGGAGAGGGGGGGAAAAAAAAAAAAACCAAAACAAAAAAAACAACCCAACCAAAAGCCAAACAGGTATGGTGGGGAGAATAAGAGCCAAAATTAGCAGTCAGTAAAAGGACAAATTGTGTCTTTCTTATTAATGAGTCATCTCTTAAACATGCCATCAAAAGCCTTCCTACAGTATCAGACTCAGGTGACTGGTCTTCCCAGTAAAATCCAGAACTTCAGGCAGACACCCAGACTCCTCACAAAACGGATGAGGAGAGGTGGGAATCCAGAGAGGCCTGCATGCTGAGAGAAAAGCCTGAGAAAACATGGGGGAAGGGATGCACCTGAAATCCTGTTCTTTGGGACCTAGCAGGCATAATTTCAGGGTGCAACTACATGCACCAGCTGCCGAGAACATCCACTCTTTCAGAGAAATGAAGAAAGCTCACTCTTTTCTTTGAAAGACAACTGCAGAAGAGGAGATCCAACTTTACATAAGAGCACAAAATATTTTAATGTAGCCCAAACACTTGCCAAGGAAGGAGAGGATCCAGGATTGATTCCCTCCTCCACCCTACTGGATAGTTATCTTCTATCCTTCCACTGAAGTAATGCCCGCTGGCAGCAAAGCAAGCAAGGTTTGTTGGGCCAGTGTGATGCTCCAGTCCAGCAGCCAGAGCACTCTCTTGGATGCTGAGTCCATCTCCTAACACTGGGTCTGTATTTTGAATTAGATGTTACTTGAAACAGGGAAACCTGGGAGCTGGGGATAGAGCCACGCAGATAAGAAGAATCATGGTTTTAACTCATTTTTTTGGTTCTAGCCTTCAAAAGCCCGTGTATGAGAACAACATCTTAGAGACAAACAAGAGAGCTCTTTAAAAAAAAAACCCAAACAACAAAACAAACCACTCAAAACCAACCCCCCTTACCAACCCACCTTTATTGCTTCAAGCAAAATTTCTTTTTGACACTGCTCTTTCTTCTCCATCACCTTTGCTTTCCTTGCATCCCGCTCCTCAGCTCGCTACATATAAGAAAAGGTTGCACCATGGTCACACACAGCAAGTCAATGCCCATCAACTGCTCTACCCTGCCAGTGAGTGGAAAAATCAGTTCAGAACTCCAGAAGGGTCCCCTCCAGCTCCTCCCCTCACCAACAGACACTACACAGAACCACCACCCAATTCTGTTTGGGGATATTCTACTACACAGAAACTTGTACAGAGCACTCTTCAACCAAGGATCCCAAAGTGCTTCTTGACACAAAGTAGGCAACAAGCATTGTAGACACTAGACTGCCTTAATATTTACCTTTAATTTGTCAGCTTTAGCTCTCACTTCCACAAGCTTTTTTTCTTTTGCATCTATTCGCAAGCCCTCCTCACACCATGCTATTGCTTCAGAGAAATTCTTTAGCTCCATGTGACAGAGAGCTCCTGGAAGGATTAAGATTTTAGGTTTCTAGTATTGGAGTCAGCATGCATCTACTACGCAAAGTGGAGGTTATGAAGACAGCGTTAGCCCTAGTGCTTTCAAGGGGCAAACACAGCAGCACACACTCCTGTCCTGCGGGATCATGTTCAACTGCAGAATTCCAACAGGTCATCTGAGAAAAAAAATCTAAAATATTTCAGTGGCTCTTGTATCGTTTGTTCATCCAATCACAGAAATCAGCAGAATGATGCTACAAGCGTCCGTTACGAGCAAAATTTTATAATTAACATTTCAGTATTTGGGAAAAATAAAGTGGCGATTTCCATGGAGTGAGAAATGCTAGGGGAAAAAAGACAACCCCCAAAAACTAGTGCTGTGGAAAACAGTGAGTTATGCTGTGCTCTACAGGAACAAGACCAGTGCCTCTGACCGATACAGAAGCCGAAGAGCAAAAAGCAAAAAGCTTGTGTTTTCACTGAAAATCCAAAGCAAAATGCAGAGCTCTGTTTTGGGGAGAAATGGCTATGAGAAGAGAAAAAAATCTCATACAGTAACCATTTTACTTTTCAGTAATGAATGCTGTCTGGAAACAAAGTATGAATGCACACTCACAGTAACTAAAGGTTTATAAATACTATTATTTAACACAGAGAAACATGCAAAACAAAACAAAGCAATATCCAACATCAGGCCTTGTAACAATAACAGCATAAGAAGTAAAAGTAACATGTGCAAAACTGTTTTGAAACCATGTTCCTTGCGCTCCATGTGGCAACACCTGCTTTAACTCTTACCTCTTACAATCGCTTTGAGATGGCTGGGCTTTAGCTTTTTTGCTTGGATGGCATCACTGAGAGCGGAACAGTAGTTACCTAGAAAGCAAGCAACACTACTCAGAAACTTGCATTTATATTTAAAGTCCAACCAGGCCCGCAGGTGAGAAAATAGCTTATGCTGAGACTCTGTAATTCACTGTTTCTACAATCCCCGTGAGGCGAAGGGAGAAAGAAGGAGCAAACTAAGAGCAAGGAGTGAAAGGACAGGAACCCGCCGGGCAGGCGAGTGTCCCCGACCGACCGGGGCAGGGTGGCCCTTGTCCTGTTACCCCGGTAAAACTGTGCGGCCCCTCGGTTTGTGAGCAGCACAGCGTTCAGCTCTGGGTCCTCGCAGTTCTTTTTCAGCCCCTCGGTGTAGGCGATGACAGCTCTCCCGTAGTCCCGCTCCCTGAAGTACTCATTCCCCTCGTTTTTGTACATCTTGGCCAGCTCTGCAAGAGATGGAGGGCGGGGAAGCAGGGCCTGAGCGGGGGGTGCAGCGCCCCGTGATCACCTCAAGCCCTCTCCCCCACTCCGGGGCCGGAGGGACAGACGGACAGACCCCCCCCCCCCCCGCCAGCCGCTCACCTGCGGGGCTCTGCTCCTCGTCGAAGAGCAGGGACTGCAGACAGGCCAGCTCGGGCTGCCGCGCCGCGTCGATCTCGGCCGGGCACCGCTTCATGAACATGGGGATGGCCTCCAGCTCCTGCGGGCAGACGGAAACACACACACCGGCCCTCCCTCAGCCCGGCCCTCCCTCAGCTCGGCCCGCCGCTCCCCGGCCCCGCCGCCTCACCTCCTCCCACGTTTCGGGGTGCAGAGGGGCCCGGTATCGCGGGTTGCCGCCGCTCCCCTCCGCCATGCCGCCGCTCCGCACCTCCCCGCTCCGCCCCAGGCCCGCCCAGTCCCCCTCAGGCCCGCCCAGTTCCCCTCAGACCCCCCCCAGTTCCCCCCAGTCCCCCTCAGACCCCCCCCAGTTCCCCTCAGACCCCCCCCAGTTCCCCCCAGTCCCCCTCAGACCCCCCCCAGTTCCCCTCAGACCCCCCCCAGTTCCCCCCAGTCCCCCTCAGACCCCCCCCAGTTCCCCTCAGACCCCCCCCAGTTCCCCCCAGTCCCCCTCAGATCCCCCCCAGTTCCCCCCAGTCCCCCTCAGACCCCCCCAGTCCCCCTCAGACCCGCCCCAGTCCCCCTCAGACCCCCCAGTCCCCCTCAGACCCCCCCAGTTCCCCTCAGACCCCCCCCAGCCCCCCTCAGACCCACCCCAGTTCCCCTCAGACCTGCCCCAGTCCCCCTCAGTTCCCCTCAGACCCCCCCCAGCCCCCCTCAGACCCCCCCCCAGTTCCCCTCAGACCCCCCCCCAGTCCCCCTCAGACCCCCCCCAGTCCCCCTCAGACCCCCCCAGTTCCCCTCAGACCCCCCCCCAGGTCCCCTCAGACCCCCCCAGCCCCCCTCAGACCCCCCCAGTTCCCCTCAGACCCCCCCAGTTCCCCTCAGACCCCCCCCCAGTCCCCCTCAGACCCCCCCCAGTTCCTCAGGGGGACCCCGGGGCCCGGCACAGCAAGCCCGCACAGGCAGGCTGTCACCCCCTCGGGATAGAGTTACAGCCTATAAGCAACAACACGGCCTGGATATTTTCATCCTGAGGCTTTGCGGGTTCCCAGATTTCACGTTTCATTGTTAATTTTTTTTTTTTCTGGGGGGGGGGGGGCGGAAAGATTGTTCTACCACGCTGAGGCTGTGCTGCCAAAACCACACTGTCACCACCCAAACCTGACAGATGTAGGCGTCTCACCAGCTGGACTGACCCGCAGGACTGGGGTGAGGATGCCCGACACCATTCTTGACCTTAATTCCTGCAGATGTGCAGCGCTACGGAATTTTTGAGGTGAATAAGGTTCTACAGTTCACCATTTTGCTTTCATCGAGATTAACCTCCACCTTCGTGGAACCCGGGTGTCTCCAAAGACAAGACGCAAATGGAGGAAAAGAACCTTCCTTCCTCTCCTTAAAATGCCTCGTTTGAAGAACTTGGCACCTGAAAAGGGTGAGGGAAAGCCCTGTCATCCTCCCTCCCGCAGCCTCAGCTGTTGCGTGTGCTTGTCAGAGGCCATGGCTGGGCAGCGAGGGGCTGACCCCAGGGCTACATGCGTCCCTAAAAGCGGCTGACGGGGGCCTGCAGCCAGAGGGTGAAACACCCCCGGCCCCACGGGGGGAATTTGGGCTGACCACAGCTCAACCTCAACACCCAGCGCAGTCGCAAGACAACATGGCTGGCTCCGACAGGAGCTGGATTCAGCTCTGCTCACCCAAAGCCATCGCTGACAACCCGCACGTCCCTGAAAAGGAACCAGGGCTGTTCAGATAAACTTAGTGCAGCAAAGACGACAGATTCAGACACAGGGAGTTTAAGGGATTTGCACTTTACTTAGCAACTCAGTGACACCTTCCTTGGTGAGGAAAAAAACGTCGCCGGCATTCTGGTCCCAAACCTCAAAGACCGGGGGGTCCTCACAAACCCTCTTCCCGGCCACGACCACGTAGGGATAACCCAGCTTGTTGGCGTCCTTTAGCCTTTTGCCGATGGTCAGCTGTGTCCTGTCATCCAGCACCGAGTCGCCAGCGAGGTGGGGCAGTGCCTCGGCAAGGTGGTCGTACAGCCGCTCCAGCAGCACGGCTCCCTCCTCCTCCTCCTCCTTGCTGCCTCTCTTGGGGGGAACGAAGCAGAGCTGGTAGGGTGCGATGAGGCTCGGCCAGCGGATGCTGTCCTCCGTAGAGAGCACCTCGATGGAGGCCGCCAGGATGCGAGTGATCCCCAGGCCGTAGCAACCCATTTCCAGCAGCTGGGGTTTGTTCTCGGGGGAGTAAAAGACAGCGTTGGAGACCGAGGAGTACTTGGTGCCCAGATAAAACGTGTGCCCCACTTCGATCCCTCTGGTCTGGATGAGTTTTTCCCTGCACGTGGGGCATGACGTTTGCTCCCCGTTTAACATTTCCACGTTGGCTGCAAAATGTCCAGCAGGGCACAGCGCCAGCCTGTCCTCGCCGATGTCAGCCGGCAGCTGGAACTCGTGGGACTCGGTGCCGCCGATGCTGCCCGTGGCCGCCCGCACTCTGACGACGGGCAGACCCAGGCGGTCGAAGAGGCTGCGGTAGGCACCGCACACCAGGTCATAGCTCTGCCGCGCCGCCTCTTCGGAGGCGTCGAAGGTGTACATGTCCTTCATGTAGAACTCCCGGCTGCGCAGCAAGCCGAAGCGGGGCTTGGGCTCATCCCGAAACTTCCTGGTTACTTGGTAGAGGCGCAGCGGGAGCTGCTTGTAGGACAGGTTGCTCTGCGCGGCCACCAGCTCTGTCACCGCCTCTTCGTGCGTGGGGCCCAGGCAGTAGCCCTTGCTGTGCCGATCCACCAGCCGAAAAAGCTCCGGCCCCATGTGGTCCCAGCGGCCGCTGGCACGCCACAGCTCGGCCGAGCTCAGGCTGGGCATGTTCAGCTTCTGCCCCGCCACGGCCTCCATCTCCTCGTCCACCACCCTGACGAGCTTCTCCATGGCGCGGACGGCGGGCGGCAGGTAGTGGTAGCAGCCGGGGCTGGCGGGGTGGATGAGCCCCCCTTGCAGCATCAGTTTCTGGCTCCGGCAGGTGGGCTCTCCGGCCCTGCCGTCCCCCGCCGCCTCGCCGCTCGCCTTCAGGTTGAGGGGCTGGAAAAGCTGCGACAGCAGCAGCAGCCGCCGCCTCGCCCCGCCCGCCGCGCCCTGCCCCGGCCTGCTGCCGTGGCGCCGGCCGCGCAGCGCCGGGAGCCGCCAGCTCCTCAGGAGGGGCTCCATGGCGGGGCCGGGGGTCCCGGGGGGGCGGCAGCAGAACCGGGCGTGAGGGCCGGCGGGCGGAAGAGGCCGGTACTCTATGGTTCCGCCGGCATGGCGGCGGCGGGGAGCTGGGACGGGCGCCACCTGGCGGGCGGGCGGCGCAGGAGTCCGCCGAAAGGGGGGGGGACACACACACAAACACACCCACAAACACCCACCCACCCACTTACACCCCCTCCCACCGACACACCCCCACACAACCACTCACACACACACCCCCCCCCCTACACCACCCCACCACTCCCCAATCCCCCTCAGGGGAAATGAGACCCGAGGAAACTCATCAACTTGTGCCCAGTTGCAGGATGGATGACAAAGTGATACGAGTACAAACCACTAGCACACATCAGGTCAGCTCTTTGGCCATGCCAAGCTACACCAGAGAGCCAGGCCAGCTCACCCAGCACCAGCGCCCCAGTCTCCAAAGTGTGACCCCAGGCTGCCTCATGGTTAGCAGTACCAGGAAAGGTGGTGCAAGCCCCTCAGATGTTGCTCATCCTCTTGACCTAGACTGTAAATTTGGTTTCCAGTGATCATGGGGTCCTTGAATATGGCATCAAGACATGGGGCCAGCATGCCCTAACGTGTCCGGTGGTTGAAGCACTTGGCCATAGGAGTGCACCTGAAGAAGGGCTGAGAAATCAAAAGCCTTTTTCTATGTAATTTCAGCTTTCTCCAGTCCAATCCGGCAGATAGACACCACCCGGCACCCAGTGACCACCTCCATATGCTGCACTCCTCTGCCTTATGTTGTGAGCTCAAAGGAAGTTAAATGTCTCTGAAGAGCAGTTGTAAGCACGTATTAAAGTACACCACTAGAGGAGATTTCACTTCACTGTGCCTCATTTTGCGAGGAGTTAAGTAATCCTGATTAAATATAAGTAAGAATGAGTCCTTATTTTATTTAAAAATGGGATTTGAAGAAATCTTCATGATTCTTCTATAACGGGAAATATGTGCTAATGTGCACTCGTCTTTATAGGAGGCTGAAAATGGGCAAAATCAAGGGATTAAAGAGCACATTTTCCATGCTCCTGAGTGATTTAGGAGCACTAAAATCATTAAATAGTCAATCCAGTTCTGCGAGGTGATTCAGTGTGCTGTGAAACGTTGCCTGGGAAGTCCTTCAGCAGCTCCGTGCCAGAGCCAGGATCTGGCCCAGATTTCCCAGCTGCAAGGTAGCAACTTCACTCCCAGACCAGCCTTCACAGGTCTTGTCAGGCGACTCCTTCTCCCTACATGTTTCTCACCGCAATTAGACAAGCAGTGCAAATGCTGTCTGGGAGAAGCGCCGTGGCTGTCTCGGAGCCTGGGGGAGGAGGAGAAGTCCCTGTGGGAAGGGGACCTGCCCACCCAGCTCACGGGTGCGGTGCGCCTGCCAGTTGAGCTGCTGGTCCCACAGGACATCCAGTGCATATTGGACATCCCTTTGGCCATCTCCTGCCTGTCTGGGAAGTGGAAGATTTTTGCCAGGCAGTTCAGGTCAGGAGGGTTGTCTTTTGCCATTTTTATTGCCTGTTTGAGCCGCAGAAGTGAAACACATTTCTGTCAGTGACTTGTTGCCTGCTGTGCTGATCAAAGGGACAAAACCATCTTGGATTGATTTGCTGGGGCGGTGTTGTAACAGGGAGGGTTTAAGACTATATGAGAGACACAGTCTGCGGGGAAAACTGGTCTCTCTTATTAAATCAGCAGACATGACTGAATGCGAGGCTGAGCTTGGGGGTTATGTGCCTGAAAGCATGTCTGTGCTCCTTATTTTTTCCAGCTGTGCTGGGGAATCTAATAAAGGTACTTCTGTCCCTACAGCCTTTCACCGAACTGCTTGCCTGCTGCTTTGCCAGGGGCTGATTTATGCCGTTGGGGCCAAATACGTGGCCTGGGAGGGGTGTGCTCTGTACGTGGCAGGACCGAGGGTATTGGCTCATGTCTGGGGCCTCCCCTCTTCACCCTAGAGGATTTCCAGGAGGAAAAGCACTGAGAATGGGGGGAAGGTGAATGGAGGATCTGAATCAGTCCCTGGTGCAGCAGTGCTGGGTATGGCACCTTGCCAAAGTAATCAAGGGAGTTGGCCTCAGAAAAGCCACAGTCCTAGACCCTAGTCGGGATGGTAGAAAACATTTCTTTCCTTTCCAGCAGCATCCCCAGGTAGCGCCAGGCCAGGGCTAGGGAAGAGAAGTTAGGGCAGGTGAGAAGCCATGTCATACAGCGGCCAAACCTCTCTCCATCCTGTGGAAGATTTGCAGTTTGGGCTTGGGGTCGCGGCACAGAGAGGCAGCACATCTCGACTGAGCCTGGACATGCTCTTACACAGCTTGCAGGGCCCGCAACCCACAGCACTAGCTCACACACCAGCCCGACTAACTTTCCCGAGTCCTTTCATTCCCTCTGGTGACATTATTGTAACTGCACAACTGCAGGACAATGTTTTTATGCCCAGTGAAGCGGTAGTTGCAGGCTTGGTCTTAAACTCATCCCTTGGGAAGTTACTAGAGAATATAAAATTACTGCACATCCCCCATGCCCTGGCAGCTACTCAAGGTGCAGGCACTCCCAGGTAACCTTTGGGTGCTTTCAGACATCTCCTGAGCAGACATCACTTTTGAAGATAAACAACACTGATAAGAATATAATCATTAAATCAATCAGAATAATGTGTATCATCATCTGGGCTACCTTGGATGGAGGTACACACAGCATCTATCAGTGCTGGATGCATTACGCCATGAGTTATGCATGTGTAGGGACCAGAAGTGGGTTTTACACAGGTGGGTTTGGGGTCCCCACCTGCTGAAATAATCCAGTTCTTCTACCTCTGTAGTGAGTGTTGGAGGACTTGATGACTTGTCGGAGCAGCGCCAGGGTCCTGTCGAAGGCAGGCAGCCTTCTGCTCCTCGCTGCCCTGGCTCAGCAGGATCCCAGCCAGCCTGCAACGGGAGCGGGTGGCACAGCTGGGCAGCAAA